ACCCTCCTGGTGCCAAGATCTGCTGCACTCTGCAGAAGTTTCCCTCCTCGAACTCCTATGCAGCTCTGGCCAGCATGCATTTCCGTGGCCGCCTGTCCACCCACACAGTCCCCCCTGCTTTTCAGCCCACACGGCTGTTGCCCTCCCTGCCCCATTGCCTGTCAATCACGCACAGGATGGGAGCAGGCTTCCTGGTGAATAATTCTTACTGTGACTTCCATGCACACATGGCATCCATGTTTCATGAAACTGACTTCTTACACCTTGCCAGTTTTTTTTTTTTCTGGGTTTTGGACTCAGTGCTTTGGGGTTTGTAGGCAGGTACCCTACCACTTGAACCATGTCTTACCCCTTTTTCAGTTGATCCTCCTATGGACACCTCTCTTGTCACTGGGATGACACACACACCACCACCACACTCAGCTAGTGGTTGACGAGACTTGGAGTCTTGCAAATTTCTTGCCCTGGCCAGCCTTGAAGTTCCTGAGTAGCGGGGATTACAGGCGTAATCCACCACGCCCGGTTCACATTGTGTCATTTTTCAGACTGCCTTTTGGCATGAGCAAAGGTATTTTGTCTTTGCAGATCCTTGTGTGGATCATTAGTAAAGTCCTAAAGCAATTTATGAGAAAAATCTCACTTATTCTGAATCATTTGGAAACTAGGACTGACTACCATGTACGCTGGGTTGAGAATGTCAGAGTTCACAGTCCAGGAAAGACGGGAGGCATAGTTTCACACCGTAATCCCAAATCTAATGAGACCAGGTAAGGTATGGGATGAGGAAGGAAATGAAGAGAATTTGGAAAAATAAATATGTAAGATTTTTCTATTTGGGGAGTGAAGCTAAGGTCTAACTTAGCAAGCACGTGGAAGAGAAAATACCCCAGAACAAAGGAATTTTTACCCAGGAACCTCCAGTCTCATATAGGAAGCTTTGAAATTTTCTATTTTTATCAGCAACAAAAATATAAAGAGATAACTCAATGTAATTGGTATAATAGTTATAAATGCAGTAAGCTGTTCTCTTCTTTTGAAAAATTGGATCCTACTGAAAACACAAAAAGAAAGATGCTGAGTAACTGAAGACCCTGAAACTATTGAAGGGAGCTAGTGTCCCCATAAAGATTTCATTGTTCATTTTAAAAAAAAACAGAGGATTATGTGGGGAGGGTGGAAGCAGAGCCCACTGGGGGCCACAAAGTGTCTGCAGTGATTGTCATGGGTGTTCTTGTGGCTTCCTGGGCCTACTGTGACTGTCACCTGTGTTCTGGAGACTTCCTGGGCCTGGGATGACCTTCATCCTTGATCTCATGGCCTCCTGGTGCCATGATGACTATCTCGTGTGATCTTGTGGCCTCCTGGGCCTGGTGACGGTCACTCGAGTTCACACAGCTTCCTGGCGTCCCTGCTTAGATACATTCTTACACCACACCCGCCCGCGTCATAGCAGCTGCGGCGTAACCAGGCCTTTTGTTATCAAGATGAACATCAAGTACGTATTGTAATCTCTCAGTCTGCCCAACTTTTTAGAGTACATTTTGTTGGCTTTTTTTTTCTGTCAGAAAAATTATTTTTATACTTTTTACCTTACTTTTAAAAACCATAGTTCATAGGAATGCTAGACAAAAGGTGTTCCTTCACTTCAGACAGTTGTAGTTCCATGCCCGGGCCGGGAAGCTGCTGGCTCAGGTGTGTAGTTCTAAGTCACTTCACCATATGTGGTCACATGACCACCACAGGACTGGAGCTCCAGACTCCCTAATCACGTGACAAGCCCCATGTGCTCTCCCTCCCGGGGTTAGACACCTGCCCAGTGCCAGACATCAACATCAGAGTGCGATTCCTGAGCTCAACCAAGATGGGGAAGCCAGCCCTGAGGACATCCTGCTAGGAGTTAGCAGGGGCAGCTGGGGGAGCCATAGGGACGGCCCGGCCACTGTCACAGTGAGCCGCAGGGATGGCCACCCCACGGTGGCCTGTGTTGCTGAAAAAGAATTCAAGTAGTCAAATGAGCCTTCAAAAATAATCCAGGTCTGGGAAGACAGCTCAGTGGTAGAGTCCTTGTCTTGCATGCACGAGGCCCTGGGTTCGATTCCTCAGCGCTACATAAATAGAAAAGGCTGGAAATGGCACTGTGGCTCAAGTGGTAGAGTGCTAGCCTTGAGCTGAAGAGCTGAGGGACAGCGCCCAGGCCCAGAGTTCAAGACCCATGACTGACAAAAAAAAATAATAATAATCACTCCAGCTGAGTATAAGATGCATCATAAATCTAGAGATTAGAAGAAGGTAGAGTTGTTTCACATAACAAATAGGACGATGAGCTGGAAAATGTCCAGAAATAGACACCCAAGGCCAGCCACAACCCGGCCAGTGACTGGCAATGCAGAGAAGAGGTCAGCCTCTCAGTGATGGAGCCGAGTTCCCAGTGCCCACTGCACAACGAGTCCTTCGCTCATGCCTGCCACTCTTGTCAACCTCAACAGGGCTGAGATGTACCAGAAACTTCTTTGTGAACTCGTGAAGAGCTCAGACTGCAGAGACAGAGAAGACACGGAGAGGAAGAGAAGCGTGATCTATAAAATTAAAAATTGATCTTAGGTTTTATCTAAACTATAAACTTTGAAAGATATAGTGAAAAGAGCAACTCAGGTCACATACTGGAGAACATTTGGAAATAGCTCCTCTGAAAAAAGAATGACTTTCTGGGTGTCTCCCCAGAACATCACAAGTCAGGATGTGGTAAAGACGCTTGCACGTCCATGTTCATTGCTGTACTGTTCACACGAGCCAAACTAGATGCCCTATAATAGATGAGTGGATCCAAAAAATGTGGTACCTATACCTGTGGAATTTTACACAGCCATTAGAAAGATTAATATTATATCATTTGCAGAGAAATGGATGGACAAAGAACAAATCATGTTAAGTGAGGTAAGCCAAGCTCAGAGAGACTAACGGTGCATGTTTTCTCTCATTGTAGAAGCTAGATCTAAAATATATGGGGACATGATCATTTATACAGGACTCTAAACATTCACGCACAGGGAGACCAAAGGAGGACACTCTTAGAAGAGGAACACAAAGGTGCAATGCCTATGTGCATCTGATCACATAAAATAATGTTTATTGAAATAAACTCCAAAAGAAAAAAGAAAGTGAACTGTTCAACTTGTGGGTGGGGAAGGGAAGGAAAACCTGGGAGAGAACGAAGGAAGGGGTGACAATGTCCAAAAAGAAATGTACTCATTACCTGACTTACGAAATGATAACCCCCCTCTAACATCAACCCTTAAAATAACAATAAAGCATTTTTAAAAAATAAAACATAAGAAATAAAAATAATAAAATAAAAAATAAAAATAAAACATGTAAGGAATGACTTGATCCAGAATATATGCAGATTTCTCTAAATTCCACAATGAAACAATCCAATGAATAGCTGTTATATGAACAAAGATGACTTGTATGCAGGTGATATTCTCAGCATCGTGAGACATCAGGGAACATGAGCTAAGCCATATCGGATGACCGGAGACTCCCGTGAATGTCAGGCAGAGGTTACTGAGACTGGCAGTGCCCAGACCTTGGCAAAACCACGAGCCGCTGACTCTTGGGCACTGCTACTACTGGAAGGAACAGACTCCTTAAACCAATATATGTCTCTACTAGGGCCCAGCCATTCACTCCCAGCTATGTACCCCAAAGAAATGGAAGTGAGTGTCCACATAAAGACTCAACTGTGGTTCACAGCAGCTTCATCTGAGATAAACCAAAGCCAGGAAGCCCAGGTCAATGAATCAATGTTGTGGCATGCTCACAACAAGAACAATGCTCACCCCAAAAGGAACGAAGCATCAAACACATCAACGCAGACAAATCTCAAAAAATCTCTTCCAGTGAAAGAAACCAAACCAGCCAACACTAGGATTCCTTTTATGGAAGACGCAAACCAACCCAGGGCCGAGGAACCACCTGGGCAGCTGAGCACATTGTCACTGGCTGACCGGCTCTGTGGCATGAGCAGTCAGCCATGTCTGCTAGTCACCTCCACAGGACTCCCAAAGGGTGGGGCCCACCACAGGCAGGTCACCAGAGCACACGGGGAGCCCACACACCCTGACAGGGCAGCCTGTGCCTGGCTGCCCACCACTGAGCACCTTGCTTGTATGCGCTGACCAGCCCCTCCGCCTCCCATTCTTAACACCTTCTCTTCTCACCCATTGACCCCTCTGCCCTCAGCAGATCCTGTGCCCTGGGGCCTTGGAAGGGGGCATGGGCTTTGTGGGAAACAAGTGTGGGCAGAAGGGAAGGGAATCCCTGATTACTCACCCACGTGGTTTTCAAGCAGGGTGAATCTGGTCATCTGCAGTCTGCGTGGTGCTGTGAGCCATAGTCTGGTGCTGGTCCTGGATGAAGGCTCCACCCACCTTGCAGGTCCCCTCCCCTCCCCCCCCCACCCCAGGCCACTACTCTAGGCACCATATCTCAGCCTCCACTGCAGGACTTCAGGAAGCTGTGGTCAATGGCAGGGGCGTCTCAGAAGCCAGAGCAAACCCTCCGCCGTGTCTTCTCTGGTACTTAGCAAAATTCCTCACTGCAACATGGAGGCGTCCACAGGGCTGCCCTGCCGCCTGTGAGGGGCCTGGCAGCATGCCCAGGCCACGCATGGCGCCTTGCATGGTGCATGGTCATGCATCGTGTGTTCTCTTCTCACCATTCCTCCGGGCAGCAGCGTGGAGTCCAAGCTGCTCTTCCCCGGTCCATCCCATGGCTCTTCCCCTCAAGCTGCTCTTCCTCAGTCCACCCCGTCGCTCTTCCCCTCCAGTCCGCCCACCCTGTGGCTCCTCCCCTCCAAGCTGCTCTACCTCGGTTGGCCCCATGGCTCTTCCCCTCCACACAGAGGGGTGAGGCAGCTGCTTACAAAATACCTTTATTTTTTTCTCATAGGGCAGTCAGTCCTCCGCATCCCCACACTCCTCCCTGCCGTCCTCCACCTCTCACTCCATCTCATCCCCTGACATGTCCGCTGTTGGAGGAAAGAGGAGAAAAGGGCGCTCAGCAGAAATGGGATGGGACAGGCTGCCAAGAGGCCGAGCGCTGAGCACGCTGGCGTGGATGGCCGGGTTGCCCAGGGCTTGTGTGAACTTCCCGTGAACTGCAGGAAAGACCGCAGGCAGTGCGAGCAGCCTAGAGGAGGTCTCTTCTCCTTGTCCCTGGTCCCAGGTGACTCCCAGGAAGCCAGGGGGGCTGGAGGCCAGGGCGGAGGGCCATTTCCAGAACACACCCCAGTGGACAAGAAGCCATCACCCAGAGAGCCTCTTCCCTCGCTCGGCTGCCTGCCAGCCCGGGGAATGCAGCAAAAGACCCCCAAAGGCCACCTGTGAGTCACCGACTTGCATGATATCTGACACCAGAGCAGACAGAGAGGCACGTCCACTGCACCCAAAGCAGCCATGATGACCTGTGTCCCTGGGAAGGACTGGGAGAGAGCTGAGAACACTGCTGTGTCCCTGGCCAGCGCAGCCCAGGAGATGACACGGCCACCCACAAGGCTGATGACCCAGAGATAAGGGAGGAGACAGGGGTGCTGCCCGCCCAGGCCCCACTGCTGTACACCAGGCTCTCCCAAGATGGACGTGTCAGCCTTCCACTAACTAAAACAGTGTTCAGAGACTACAAGGTGCTGTCACCCTGAGAAGGACCTCAGGGCAGGGGCCAGGCCCTCCATCCCAAAACCTGAGGACGGCTCGGCACGGCCACCTTCTCGGCTGTCCACGCTCTTAGAGAAGGAGACGCTCTGCGACTTCTGCGAGACGGTCTGAGACTTCTGCGACCCTTGGGAGGCATTTTTGTTGTCCTTGGCGTCTGCGGAACCCTCCTTTTCTCGCCTGCTCTCCTTAACAACTCTGATGTGAAGAGAACGACAAAGGTGGAGGCCCCATGGGCCCAACCCTGTCATCATGACACATGCATATAACATGTGCGTGTGGCTCTCGGGGTCCCCAGGACACCCCCAGCCAGCAAGTGTGGTCTCAGGTAGATGCTCATTCCCAACGCCAGCCGGCATGTGGATTCTGAGGGCATGGTCACATCGAGTCTTTCGATCTACACACACACACCATGCATGCAGTGTGGCTTCAAGATTCCCTGAGACAAAACCTGGGTGGGCAGGCAGGGGGCCAGACAGGCTAGCTGGACAGAAAGGGCCTGATTTGTCACTGGATACTGCACACACATCCTTGTGGTGGTTTGTCCCACCACAGGAAGAGGTGTGTGCCAGCCTAGCAGGGAAGCCACACACATGGCCTCTGGCCACACAATTCCAGAGAGGGGGAGGAGGGGACTCATATCCAAGATGCCCACAGCAAGTGCATGCTTGGGCAGCCGAGGGTTTGGGGAGTCCCGTGGGGCTCTAGGCATGGCTGTGAGCTGGGTGTGACATTCATCAGAAGACGAACATGCCCAGAGCAGCCGGGGCCAGTGATGGCTGGAGCCGGACTGTAGACCCAGCAAGGGAGAAGCTTCCCGGCCTGTGCCATTCCCGCCACACCCCAGCTGGAGGAAGAGGGACCCCACCTGTAGATGATGGTGATGATGAAGGCTGCAGCGATGATCACAATCAAGGCGGAGAACACATGCACGTACACTGAAAGACAAGCAGTGGCTCAGACCCGAACCCCAAGCAGAGAGGGAACCACTCCACCCAAGGGGGCGCAGCCTGGCCCAGACCTCCCCTCCCTCCACCCTCCCCCCCCAGAGAGCAGAGAGGTGACCAGCTCTACCCAGAGCAGGCACAGGTCAGGGTGCCCCGCCAGCCTGTCTGCACCCTGGCCTGCCACTCCACAGACTAAAAGAGTTGTCACAATCCCTTCGGCCAGGATGCTGCTCACTGTTACCGAGGCTGACAGAACAAAACCTCCCTGCTCCACCCTTCATCAGCTCCACCGACAACTGGAAATGTGTGCATGGGCGAGGCTCTCAGCGAGCTGCAGGCAGACAGGGTCTGTGCCCCCACGCCTTCCTGTGGCCCCTGAGCTCTCGGCCCTGGCCCCTCTTGGGGAAGGACACCGGATGGGTCTCTCACAGACGCCCAACCCCAGGATCATGATTTGATCTCATCTCCTCCTCCTCCCTCTGCTAGCAGACACCGCAAAACTGGATGAAAGTGGGGTCTTAATGCAACAGCAGCTCCTTGCCTCCCACCCTGAGCATAGGCCGGAGTCTGAGTTGGAGGCCTGGCCTCACGGGGTCTGGGAAGGCCATGCTGGGTAGCTGTGGACCCACTGCTGTTCCCCAGTCAGCTGCCTCAGCTCAGTCTCCACCTCCAGTCTCATGGTTCTTCTCCTCGGCTCTCTCGGTCTCTTCTCTTCCAGGGACACCGCTCCTGTGGAGCCGGGCCGCCTGTTCCCCAGGGACCTTCCGTAATCACATCTGTGTACAAGTCTTTCTGAGCACCGTTCTGTTCACAGGCACCTGGGCTTTTACTCGCGCTGTGGGCTGAGAGTTCAGCGTGCACCCCAGCTGCAACCTCCCTCCTCCTGCACTGTTTTCTGGCTCTCCAGAAATGGAGGCAGCTGTGACGTCCTTTACATGGCGACGGGAATCCAAGGGCAGACAGGAGTCTGAGGGCAGACAGGGAGTTGGAGCCCCTAGCTGCAGATGGCAAAGTCTTGACCTTTCTTATGTCCATGTGACACCAGGAGGCGATGGCGATGGACCACAGTGCTCTCCCGGGGGAACCCTAACCATCGGCTTATCACATCACAAGCTCTGACTCTGTACAGCATGAATCAGAAGCGTACGGACTGTCCCCCTTGTTGGCATAGGTTGCTAGCAGGGAGGACAGGATGGTGGGCCTGCTGCCTCCACTTCCCAGGGCATCCTGCGCTGCCTTTGCAAGTCTCCACCCCGGTACTCACAGCCCAGGAGAAACTCCCACTGCCACTCCGGCTGATGTCTGACCAGAGCCGGTGTGCAGTGCAGTGTGTGTGCATGCATGTGTACGTAGCCTCCAGCTTCTTTCTCGGACCGCCTGCTTGGAGGAAGATGTTACAAAGACACTCGGGCCACTCTCACGGCTGGCAGCAGCCTCCACGGATGCCTGGAACCCACCTGCAGCCCAGCCAGGGCCCTGGAGGCTGAGCATAGATCTGAGGCACGGCAGCACCCCAGGGCTCTGAGCCCAGCCCCAAGCATCCATGTGACAGAGAGCCCAAGTGAGGGGCAGAGGCTCCGGTGAAGAACAGGCGCTTTAAACAGCGGTGAGCACAGAGACGCTGTGGTGGGATAAACACAAGTGTCCTCGACAGTGACTCCCAAGTTCCTGAATTTGAGGAAATGTTTACTCTTCAGTGTGGCTTTGCACGTTCGTTCATGGCACAAACTATGTGCGTGACATGTTACTCAATCCCCAGCACCTCCACATGACACTGTCCTTCACATCCTCTGCCCATGTCCACATCCAAGGCTCCTCTGAGTCTCTGCCCAGTATCTGTGCTACCCCATTTGTGGCACAGCATTATCACTTATCTCCCAGAGACAGCAGCAAGTGAAGAAAGGAGTCTTTTCTTTAAGGAATCTCCCAGTCACATCTCCCCAAACACAGTTAAACCAAAGTTTTGCATTCCTTTCAAGTCCCATGAAGAAACTCAACTCTGCTTAGAAGAAATGACATGTTAAACAATGTGCCCTAAATCAAGACTGAGGAATGAACGAGAGGCAAGTCTTTCTCTTTTAACTCCCAGTTCTTTCTGAAAGATCTAATGCTAATTCCCCAAGTTCATATTCTTAATAATACAGATTATGACATAACACAATGCGCACTTCAAAGCAGCCAATTTAAGAAGTTGGTGAAAGGTTTTCATAACATGGAATTAGGTGCACAAAGAACTCATGATACCCTGTCACTGAATACTACAACTTACGCGGCGCAGCGGCTCATTTGCCGTGGTGAAGGAGAAAGATGTCAAAGGAATGAGAAATAATGTAAGGGCACAGTGAGCAGCCGAGTGTCGGGCTCACTGCCCAGACTCTTCCTACGGATGGCCCAACCTCTAACTCAAAAAAATGTCAGAAGTTAAGAAAAAGCCAAGCCCACACACCCGGTTATTAACATCAGAAGGATGTCAGGAGGTTCAAGTGGGCTTCCATACAAGAATGATGTACCCCAAGGCCTCCCAGAGGGACCCCTCTGCCCTCCCTCAATAGGAAGTTGTCTGGAGCAGTCATCGCCCAAGTGCTCGCCGCAGCCGAGGTTTCCCCACAGGAGCAGAGGATGAGGGAAAGAAGGGGACCTGATATGTAGGGATAACAGGTGACAAATGTGACATGTGACACGTGACACATAACAAGTGCCCTGTCACGGTGTCTCTTGAGTTCCAACTCAAATGCTTCCTCTCCCCTTAATGCCCTGGCTGCCCAAGCAATGGGAAGAGCCAGGGTGTCTCATGCCTGTGACCGTCCAGCAATAAACATAGCCCCAGAGAGGTGCGGGAGTCCGTACCATCACCATGGCCCTCTGATGCCACTCCTCGTGGAGTCTAGCTGCAACTCCGGCTTTCCTTTCATTTTCAAATAAACTTGGCTCTGTCTGCTTAAACACACACACACACACACATGCACGCCTGCGTGCACATGTAAAAAGCCCAATTGCAAAGCAGTGAGCCATCTTCTGTCTTCAGGCACAAATTCTTGGGAGCCTGGGTCCCAGGGTGCAGTGATGGAGGCTCTGTGGAGGACAGGGCTCGTGTTCTCAAGAGAGTGGCAGGCACAAGGTGAGGGTTCTAATTTAAGCAGTGTGTGAACAAGTAGATCATTCATAGACTGGTTAATACCTGCCTTGCAAGATGCCACTGGGCATAGGATGGAAGCCAGCACGGCTGGCTAGCTTGCAGTTTTTTGCCCCTCAGCCCCGCAGGGGATCTGCCACTGGAATCTGCCATGGGTGCTCATTCCGCTTCTTTTCACACTGTTGGATGCAGGGAATGGAGACCCTGCACACTTCAAAGACAGTGACCAGCTGGATATGACGGACACAACAAATCCGGGTCTGTACTTTCTGGAACCAGATGGGGAATTTCCCAGGCTATCTAAGTTGCAAAAGAGCCTCACAATGGGCGATTGGGCCAGCTTGCTGGGACTTAGGACTCAGACAGATCTTATAGGTGATGTTCTGGCTACCGGCAGCAGCAGGTCTTCTTCAGAGATGGGAGGGACAGAGGGTCCTCCCGGAACCAGTGTCAGGTGTTGTGCTGTGACACTTGCCCCTCGATTCCTGCTACATCCAGAATTACCTGTCAGGATAATATTGGCAAGCATGACAAAGGAAGCCAGTAAGGGTGGCTCAGGCCTATAATCCCAGTTGCTCAGGAGGCTGAGGTTCAAAACCAGCTCTGACAGAGACTCCAGAAGCCAGACTGGAGGTGCGACTCAAGCACTAAAGTCCTAGCTGTGAGCAAGAAAGTTGAACAAGAGTATGAGGCCCCAAATTCAAGCCCCAGCTTGGGTGGCATACACACAAAAAGGCAAAATGGGAACCTAAGAAAAATCTCTTCTCCACAGAAGAGCAGGAGAACGGCTGGCAAAGCTGCAGGGAAAACAAAAACAGAAAAAAAGCTTTTCCAGAACTCTGGAAATGAACCAAAGGCTTGCAGACATCTGCTTATTCAGGGTGAACAGCTCAATGTCACAGCAGTAAAGCATTGGGCCTTTCAATTCACCTTGTCCCACCTCCCCTGCCAGCTCCATGGGGCTTTAAAACCCTCAGTGCGCAGACACTGTGAAAGCCAGCAGCGTGTGTGGCTGAGGTGAGAGCCAGTGGCCTGGTACCCCCGGGAGTCAGAGCGGTGCCAAGCCCCACAAAGAACCACCCATGTCAGGCCTGACTGGTGCTTCTCTTGCCTTCTTCCACCGGACTTGCAGCTCACTTGGCAAGAATGGCATTTCCTCCAGGCAGCTGGGGATGATGAGACTGGAGGAGGGGAAGGAGCTGGGGAGGGGAAGGAACTGGGGAGGTGAAGGAGCTGGAAGAGGGAGGGAAGGGAGATGTGTAGATCGCCCACACCCAGGAGCCACACCATGCTCATTTCGAGTGAAGACGAGGCTCACCAGAAGCGGTTGGTGGAAGTTACACGCAAACACAGAGCCTCTGGCCAAGAGCCAGAGACTTACATCTCCAAGTGTCCAGCCATCAGCTGACCACCAGGAGGACTGAGTGAATTTCCTGTGGTCTATAACACAAGAAACAGACTTCTCAGATTTGTTCAGAAAAAAATGATCAAATCATAATAAAACAGTAGAACCAATAAACCCAGAGGAGCCAAGAGAACCGGACTTTCTGAATGGTGATGCTATATATCTAAAATGTTTGGTTTTCAACCAAGAAAAGGTGACACCTGTAAATAAACACATGCTTTTCAACAGCTGGTGCTGAGACAACCAGAAGAGACAACGAAAACCAACTCTAGAAATCGGAGGCCAGATGCAAGAGCTAAGGGTGGGGACCCGGGGCCTGACTGTGGTGTCCTGGGTCCTGGCTGTGGTGACCAGCCCCTGGCTGTGGGGACCCAGGAGAAGGTAGCAAGTCTCTATATCAAAAACAAAAGGGTTGGGGTTCAACCCGCTGTGATGGATGGAAGTGTTGGTAGGAATTTGGGGGAACCAGAGCCCTCATGCTGCTGAGGAGATTAAAAATGGCAGAGCTACTTCAGAAATCAACTTAAAAACTTAAACATAGAATTGATACATGGTCCACTCCAGACACATGAGAATTAAATACGTACTTGCACAAACACTGGTGTGTAAATGTTCAGAGCCACAGTACTCCTAACAGCCAAGAAACAGACACAACCCAAATGTCCACCAGCTCATCAATGGATCAACTAACCGAGGTGTGTCTATGCCACGTGCCAATGGGTTCTACCACAGAGAGGAACGCCAGGGAAGTGGAAGAACCATGCACGCGATTCTGTCCATGAACAGAGAAGACTGCTAGCCGGCATGATGCTGCTCTTCAGTGTGATGAAGTGTTCTGGGATTAGACCACGGTGACGGTGGCACAACTTCATGAATAGACTCGAATCCACCGGATCGCATCCATCAAAAGGCCAAATTTTATAAGCAATACGGTATGACTCAACCCAACAGAAATAAGACAAGCAAGCTGCCATTGCTTCTCCCAGGCAGCAGGTCTTCAGAGTGCTGAGTCACCCTTTCCTGGGGTTTCTAGGGTGGAGAGCGAATGGCAGTGGTGCCGATACATCCTTGTGCTGGCCATGGTCTCCATGGGGACCTGGTTTTTGCCAGATTTCATGTTCAAGTGTTTGTGGACCAGGTTTCTGTACTGATGCAGACATGCTTCTGAGCAAGTCTCAGCCCTTCTCGCAGGCTCCTGAGGAGCTGTTCAGCGGGGCCACTGGTCAGCTAGGCTACCCGTCCAGCAGTCTGATGCTCCCTGGCTTCCTGAATTGTGGGAAGCCTAGGCAAAGAGACCTGGGGCTCTGTCTCTGAGAGACACGGTGGGAGGCGGGGGAGAAAGGAGGAGAGGGTAGAAAGGTCCCCTCAGGCACATAGCCAGTGTGCCTTTGTCCATAGTGGACAAAGCATGGTGGAGCATCATGGCTGGGATGGGTGGTCCCAAGCCATCTCCAGGCAGGGAGCTCCATGGAGCTCCACGGAGTGGCTGTGTCTTGCTGGCTCCCGGGGCGGGGACCCTGGTGTGTGAGAGTCAGGCACAACTCACAGAGCCGAGTGCCCTTCTCCTGAAAGGCCGTCAACCTTCTAGAGGAATCTCGTAAGGGTTTGGAAATTTGGGATTTAGAAAATTTCAAAGCACAGGAGGCTGAAGCCCTCGTAAGCAGGATTGCACCCAGGAAGCAGAATGGTCTGGATCCATCTCTGTACCTGATCCCTGCCACACACACACACCCTCCTGCGGAGCTGGTGATGATCGGGGAGCTGTAGGGAAAGCCCTTCCTGCAGCCCCTGCCCCCCGTCAGGCTCAGACACCTGACTTCCAGACCCCTGCCTTTCCTCTCTGGAGCTGGAGTGGATGCAGGAGTGGTCCAGCCAGGCGGAGCCCGTCAGCTGCCCTCAGTGCCGGGCTGGACGATGCCTGGCCAGGCCCCACAGGCCCCGCCAGTGCATGGCCAGCAGCATTGCCCGCTGCCACTGTCTCTGTCAGGTTGTTTCACATCTGCTCTGGGCAACTCCTGGAACAACAGGACTCCTCCAGGGAGGCCCCAGGCCTGTGCCAGCCCAGTGGAGGCAGTGGGGGCGGGGAGCAGCCCTGGGGAAGAGGGCCATGCGGACTCACCAGGAATACCCTTCTCGTAGCAGACACCCTTGTAGAAGCAGCACCCCAGGTCCTTGCACCGGTCTCTGGTGACGTTGTAGTCACAGATGTCATACAGCGGGATGTCACACACTGCAAGGCACAGACCGCCACCCTGAGTCTGCAGAAGAGAGCCGGCTTCCCACCCTGGAGAGCGTGGGAACACGGGAGGGCATGGCGGACACAGGGAGGGAACATGGGGAAGACATGGGGAGGCCACCGGGAGGACATGAGGACACAGAGAGGACACAGGGGGATACAGGGAGGATACGGGGGGGACATGGGGAGGACACAGGGGACACAGGGAGGACCAGACCCTGTTGGTCTGCTCTTTTTGAAATTATCCCTCACGCAAATCTCATCATCAGCTAAGACCTGGAGTGAGTGACTTTTTGAGCGCCTCACACTGGCTGCCTGCACAGCGCTGCCCACAAGGGTCAGGGGCACAGCACGCGCCTTTTCAGTGTCCAGTGCAGGGACAGTGGCTGGCTCTGAGTCTGAGCAGTCCTATGTGCTTTACAGAAAACTGTGGCCTCCGCCACCCCAGGAATTAGTGCCCAAGACCAGCTGGGGACACCGCTGGGAATGGGGTTGAGGGTCTTGGCTGCCCAGGGCTGCTTCTCCTTACTAAGAAGGCTACTCCCAACATCAGAATTACAAAATAGAGTGCAGATCTGTTTATCGTGAAATTTAAGGGAACGGAGACATCCCGACATCCTCTCCTGAGTTACTCTTGGGATGTGCCTCTAATCATGCCTCTCCCGCTCCCTGCGAGGCCCGGCGGCCTGGCTCCCAGGTTACCTGCAAACTTCTTCAGGAGGTGCGGTGGGGACTTCTTGACTTCCGGCACATATCTCATTGTAGCAGCTGACAGACACGCTGGGGTCAGGCACACCTGGAAAACAGGACAGCTTGGCACAGGTAGGCCCAAGCACACACACCTGGGGGGGCAGGACACCTGGGGGCAGGACATTTGGGGGACAGGACACCTCTGCACAGGTGGGTCCATGCACAGGTGGGGCACCTCGGCATGGTAGGCTCTCTGCCATCTGCTAGAGGTTCCTGAGGTATCAGGGACTGTGCAGAGCAAACTCACTGCTCCCAAGAGGGCTGTCATGATGACCCACCTGGATACCATGTCCAGTCTAAGTCTGCTTGGCTGCCCTGGTCCTCTCTGCTCTCTTCAAAGGGAGAACAACTTTTTGGTCAATCCAGAACTAGCCACCTCGTCCTGTCTGCTGCCCAGAGCAGTGGAGTGTAAGGCGGTTGGCTCGGCTGTGACCTCACGCAGAACCTCCACGTCATGCGGAGTGCCGGGCAGTTAGCCTGGCTGTGACATCACGCGGAACCGCTGCATCATGCAGCATCACACAGCACAGTGCTCAGAGAACAGCAGGGCTCTACTCATGCTGTCCACACAGCATAATGGGCCCACCTGGCATCCTGGGAATGGGGGCTCCAGTACAAGGAACTATTCTGAACCCCAAACTCAAGTCTCACCCTCCCTAGGACCCATCCCCCATCCTGGCCCTGCGTGGGAACCCTACCACAACCTCCCTTCCTAAACATGACTGAGTGGGTGCAAGCCAGGGAAGGGGGCAGATATGGAGCTATGGGGAAGATCTGGCTGGGAGTCCATTGATCATGGAGGTGTGGGGAGATCCTGCTTGGAGTCAAATGATTAAATGATCGTAGAGCTGTGGGGGAGATCCAGCTGTGAGTCAATTGATCATGGAGCTGTGGGGAGATCCGGCTGTGAGTTGGCCAATCATGGAGCTGTGGGGGAGACCCGGCTGTGCGTCGATTAGGGAGCTCTTGGGGTGGGCGGATCACTGTGTTACACCACAGCAAACTGTCAGAGCACTGTAAAATACTGTCAGAGCACTGCTGGTGTTCATGAGGCGTCTTTATTATAAGAACTGTAAGTGTGCTGAGACGCTGGGGCTGGGGGAAGGTTGACTCCCTCACTGACAGCTCCTAGACCTTCCCTGGTGCTCTGGCTGCCTTGAGTGGTGGGCCATCAGCTGGTCAGCTGCCCTCTGCCTCACCAGCAGCTTTGAACAGACACTTTGTGGAGACGAAGCTGAATGCTCTGTTGCCAGCAAACAGCCTGCACAGGAGTTTTTGCCATTATAGATCTTGGGAACCCTAGATGACTCTACATCCATGTTACCCAGGCTAGAAGGTGGCCTAGAAGACCTGTGAGAGGTATAAATATAGCTGGAAATGGAAGAAGAGAAGCACCCGACAAGTGGCAGAACACGAGGACCCAACCTGGTCCTGGGACAAGGGCTATATACCATGTGGGTGGCTGGCAGGCTCCAAGTGCTTGGCTTCACCCCAAGCTCTCCAAGGTTTAGGCTGACAGCCCTGGTGTCCTTCGTTCACACAGGCCCTGTGGAGTACCACCTCTCAGTTGTACACTTGGCATCAGAACGCACTTCCTGGTGCCCGGGGCTGCACAGCTGGATACGACACACAGGCCATGATGTGTGTTCAAGGCCTAAGTCCCAGTACCTCAAGATCCCTGGAACAGGGTCACTGCAGGTATAAAGTTAGCAACAATAAGGTCCCTAGAGGAAGGAGGTCCCAATCTACTGTGACAGGTGTTGAAGAGGGAGTGCATTGGGGAGAAACCCCATGTAAAGACAGGCAGAGATTGGGCAAATCTCCTCCTCCCATGTGGTACTGGGGGTGGAGGGGACTCCAGGCCTCCTGCCCTAGCTCTTTGCCTGTAGTTTGATTTACAGATTTCATGCTACTTGCACTTGCCCTGGACTTCAATCTTCCCTCTAACCTCCCATAGCTGGAATTACAGGCATAAACCATGAGGTCAGCCTGACTCTTACATTTTTTTTTCATTTTATTTTTCCTAGTTGACCTTTTTTATTATTGAAAAGATCTTTTAAGTTTTCCATGTTGTCCCTGGCTTGCAGAAAATCCAGTTTCTACATCAATCATGTGTTTGGCACCATTTAACTGTAGGCACTGTGCACTTCCCTCACATGTGGTGGCATGACTGAAAATGACAGCTTCTGTCATTTCTCCACCATTGGTGTCCCCTCTCCTGTTCTGCCTCCACGCGGCACTGTGGAGGGGGGCGGCTGCACCTCTGAATCTCACACAGAGACAGTTAATTTGGCATTTGCCCTCGGCCAGGGTTCTGTTAAAATTTCTCACAGGAGCGTGTGTGGCATTTGGCGTTTCCTAATCTAAGCATATAATCAAAGCCTTTGGGTTTTCTGTAAATGCATTCTTAATTCTTTTGAACACTCAAACTTGGATCCTGGAGCCCCGCCCCCCCCTCCACCCAGCCTTGGTTATGAGGTAGCTTTTCTTGGGCTATTTCATTTCCCATGAGATTGGTCCAGAATTGCCCTTGACATCTTCTGTCTGGCGCTGTCACCCTCAGGGTGGTCCTGACACTGGAATATTTCGCTGGAGAAATGGGACTTGAACTCCTAAGGTTGCCCCACTTTTGGCAGAGAGGGTATGTGTGCACATGGGCACTTTCAACTTCCTTACACCTCTGCCATCACTGCCCTCTGCATGTGTAAGTTCACCCACACACATCACTGAGGCGCGCACAGCTACCTCCCTTCCTGACGTGGCTCACGCAGATGGTCTTCCTCACCTTTACAGTTTTCCTAAGAATCGATTGCACTTCTGACCAGGGCTTCCCCCTCCTGCCCCCACCTCAGCTCATGGTAGCCCCTGCTCTATTCCCAGTCATCCTCTCCCAGAATCGCCAGGCCTGGAGTTGCAGACTCTGACACTTGGTCTGCCCCCTTGGTTGGTATGGCACTGGACATGTCCACGCCGAGGACAGGTGCATGGCAACTGGCCTCTGGGCTCCTTCAGGCTTCTGCCCTTCCCAGGGCATCAGTCTGTGGGGTTCGGGTGGGAGGGTGATCAGGAAGCCTGTCAGAAAGGGTGTGGGGGAGGGGGAGGGTGGAAGAAATGAACTCTGATCCAAGCACACATCTGCATAGGCCTCCCTAGTCCCAGTATGTCAATTGTCAGTGTCCAAAGCACGAGTCTCTTGAGCTGTCCATGGGCTTTGATGGTGACTGCTACTTAAGATGTTACTTCTGCAGAATGCCACTGGGTTTTGTGTCAAGCAGTTCCCTTCCAGTTGTGGAGGCCAGCAATAACACCTAGGTGTCACAGGGCTGGGTCCCCCGTGGGAGCTCGGGAAACCATCCCCTCACCTTTCCAGCTGCAGACTTGGACACCTCCTGGCCTGGGGCCATTGCTTGCTCCTGACCTGCTTCTGTCAGGGTGCACATGCTGCCTCAGGCCTGGCCCTCCACCTCCCTCAGAAGGGTCCAGTAGTACAACCCAGAACCACCTTTCCATCCCAGAGCCTTAACCTCAGCACCTCGGCCAAGGTGTTGCCATGAAAGGTGAGCAGAGGCCATGGGGGCCGCTCTTCTGAGTGCTGCACCTGCAGCAGGGGCCTGTCTTATTACCACTAACAGCTCTTCTGCAGCCAGGTGATGGCTTTCCCCATAGACAACCAGTCCAGACATGCAACTGACTCCACCGCCGCCTTCCATACACACATTAAAGCTTGTGCTCTAATGCAGAGGCCACTGCTCCAGACAAGGCAGAGTGGGAAGCTTTGCACAGGGCTTGCATGGGCCACTGAAGGGAGTATCTTAGTCTCAGCACCCTGCTGGAAGCCTTAGTTCCAGCTCCTCCTATAGGGCAAGGTCTCAGCCTGCTCAACTGTTGGGAGCTGGGGCACGTCTGTTTTGACCTTCTCTGCTCCATGCGTCAGACATGGCTCAACGCTCCACTAAGTGCACACAGTATTCATTGGGATGATCCAATCCAAGAACAATTTACTTCCATCCAGGCCACTGCCATCTGAGTTTGAGGACTCAGGTAAACTCTGATGCCCTGTGGACTCAACCTCACTGCAGGGTACCCCAGGCCAAAGGTGGGGAGGCCAGGAAAACTGATTGTGTCCCCCCTCCTGCCAGGGAAAAGTAGTCTTGCCTCACACTTACCACATGGGTTCCATGCTCCTGGGAGCCATCAGCCTAAGACCTGGCTGGTTCCTCAGACCATGTAGCCTCCTGTATCCTGGCAAGTTGGGCAGCCTGTCATTGCTGACAGGCCGGGCTGCCTCTCACCAGCGCACTCCTTCCCCAGGCTGCTGGGAGGCAGCTGTGGACATCCAGCAAGCCGGGCTGGGCACAGGGGCAGAGCCACCCATGTCACTACAGCTAAGGGGCAGGGCAGGTGCAGGGCAGGGCAGAAGGGGCATGGTGTCCAGGCGCAGGGGAAACCACCTCTTCTGGGGGGCAGGTGTAGGAGCTGAGCCAGACTGGGGAGGGCTAAGGTGGCGTTGGGAGGAGAGACGATATTGGGAAGAGAGATGGCACCCTGGCTCTGCCTGTGGCAGTGACAAGGGACAGGCGGGGCAAGGAAAATCTGGAGCTGAAGCAGCTGTTAGGAGCATACCACAAAGCCAAAGCACACTATCCATAACCTCACTAAAAGGAACCTGGCACTAAGAGACTGGGAAGGCAAAATGGCAGCCAGGGCTCCCAGGGTTCCTGGCTCAGGAAAGCCCAGCACCACCTACAGGAGAAATAAGTCTGGAAGCATGGCCGCCATTTGTCTTCTAAGCCTGAAGTTTGCCATAAGGAAAAGCTTAGTAACCAAACAGCCGCAGCAGGCAGAAAGTTCTGTTTAAGAAGTTTTTGTTTAGGGATGGGGAGGAGGGGAGAAGAAATGACCCTGAAGAAGCTGCCCCAGGAGAGCAGGATACAGGAAAGTGAGAGGAGGAAAGACAAGTAAGGGCACCAGGACCTTCTGGGTGCACCCAGCCCAACCCACCTCCAAGGGCAGCCAGCCACTGTGAAGCCATGAGTGGGGTTTCTTTTCAGAACCCCAAACTGCAGAGCCACCAAGGAAGTCAGTTCTAAGTGCCTTCAAAGAATGGGCAGTCCCCCCTCCCCCATGAAAACCAGAGCACCTCTGGCTCCAGCACCCCCTCCCCCGAGGATGAGGGGTATCTGCCATGCGCCCTACACAGGAGCAGACTCAAGGACACCTGCCACTAAGATGAATGCATGGTCAACACAGCTTTACAAGTGGCTAGAACCCCAGGTCCAGTATGCCCAGCCTTAACCACTCAAGATGGTGAGTGAAGGGCAGTCCACGTGCCCTGCCTTTGGGGATCAGAGTCACACAGTCCAGAGACAAGGGCCAGGCACCCATGGACCAGTCCCTGAAATGGCTCATCTTCCCTCTGCCCTCCTTTCTATGCCCATCCTAGGGCTTGAACTTAGGGCCTGGGCACTATCTTTGAACCCTTTATTTTTTTTTTTAATGTAATTCTTTTTTTTTTTTTTTTGTCGGTCGTGGGGCTTGAACTCTGGGCCTGGGCGCTGTCCCTCAGCTCTTCAGCTCAAGGCGAGTGCTCTACCACTTGAGCTACAGCGCCACTTCCTCTTTGAACCCTTTAGCACAAGGCTGGAACTCTGAGCCATAGCTCCACCTGGAGAGAAGTCTCACTGACTTTCCTGGCCAGGCTGGCTTTGACCTCAATCCTCAGATCTTGTGCGTGGCCACTGCCAGCTCCGTCCTCCTTTTAAGCTGTCTCGGATACTCTGCCACAGCAGCAGAAAGCTAGCACAGTAAGTGAACCCAGATCCTAATTTCTAACAAGTCTTTCTCCAACCCTCTTTACCAGAAAAAGAACTTTTACCAGGGAACTCTTGCAAGGCAGACACATAAAGCCATTTCCTCTCGAGTCATGGCAATCACACGAGGGACTCCAGCTATCTGTTCAACACCAATGGTGGTTTGGGCATCTTCCCATACAGAGGTAAATGCCAAGCACAGTTGCTGGCTGGGCCTGTGCTCAACAGAGCACACTGCCGCTGCTGCAGTTTCCTTTCCCAAACCTCTTCTTTCCTCATCTTAGTCTCTTCAATTGGGATTGAAAAATGTGAACCTCCCACCATCAAAAACTCCCTAGGGTTTTTTAATTTGAGAAGCTTTTAGACACACAGCCAATGTACCAAAGATGAAAGTACCAGTTTGTGAAATAGGAAAAATAATCAGTTTAATTAATTACAACGATGTAGCACAAACATTGTAGTAGTCAACACCAGGACACTGCCTGCACGCAGCTTCCCCTGGGGCCGGCGCCCGGGTGTCCCAGAGTGGGAGAGATTGGCATTGGGGAGGTGCACACAGGCAGCAGCAGGTGTTTAAGGCCCAGCACCAGAGTGCATGGCTGCAGCATACATGGAGGTGTTCGGCACACTCTGCAGCTCCACACACGGCTAACATCTCAGCGCGGTTTCACACGGAAAGTGCTTCACATCTATAGGACAGGAGATGGCTTCGTCCCTCACTCCTCGGAGACTGGGCAGAGGGTGGCCTTGGTAAACAGCATCGCTGTGATGTCAGGATCTGAGCCCCACCCTCCACGAGTCCCTGTGCAAAGGCCATAGGTATGTACAGCAGGGTGGGTTTTAGAAGGAATGGTGTGGGCTCCCACTCCCCAGAGCCCACAGGGTGGTCTGCAGGGAGAAACCTCAACGCCCAGTTTGGGGAGGGGGTGTTAAAAACACGGCGTTCTCAGGAACCACCTCAGGCGAGTCGTTAAGGCAGGTCTAGAGGAGGCGGTCCAGGGAGTGAAGGACAGCCTTCAGTGACTCAGCACCCACTGCCCGGGAAGAGAGATCCCAGAAGAATGGTTCCTGAGTGAAAATCTGCTTTTCAACACATCTTACGAGTCGCCAAAACACTTGTAAAAATAGGGTTTCAACAAGGAAACAGGACGTGATCATGTCTGGTCCCTGTGGGAAGTGGAAGAGTGCAAGTACAGAAGTGAGCAATCCTGCGTGGAACCCGGGGCCCGTGGGGGCGGGGGCTGCAGGCAACAAGAGCAGGGGAGGAACCGGAACACTGGAAAACAGAGCACCTCTGGGCACCCAGCTCAAAGGCTTCCAGAGGCTTCTCCTGAGGACCCTGGTCGGAGTGACGGGCAGAGTGCGTGTCGGGGTCAAGCAACTCGGAAGTGCTGTGTATCTGGGAAAGAGATATTATTTTCCTGCAAAAAAGTGGCTCTTACTTCAGGCCCGACCTCCCTGGAGGAAGAGCGCCGATGGCAAGTTGCTGCGCCGCCATAACTTATTGCTACAGCTGAACCAGGCTCTCCTGCCCAGGCTGCTGGTTGTCTGGAGCCCCCAGGCCCAGGGAGGCAAGGAAGCGGGGTGAGGTGAGGGCTCCTGACTGTCTCCCCACCGGTGGACCTACTCAGCTGCACTTAGTATTGCTTTATTCTTGCCGAATGAGGGAGAAGTGGGTTTTCAGTGGTCATGAGACAATGCTGGCCACATCCATGACAAAACAGTTCTCAGGGTGAAAGTGGGCTAAAGTGAAAACCCGCCCACTGCTCATAGCGCTGCCTTGGGTGGTTCTGACTGGCTGTGGCATGAATAATAAATAACATTTATGTACAGATTCTAGTTTTCTCTCTGGGGAGGATGTAATGGTAGACTATTAACAGGTTTCTACAGGAGCCTGTGTGGGACAGCCTGGGCCATGCCCCCTGCACTGAGAGGAGTCCTGCATGAGGCGGCAGGAGTCAGCTTCCAGATATGCCTGATGGTGTCCTCGGCCCGGAATTTGGGGCCAGGTCCCACTGGGCCCGTGTCCCTCTGGCACATCACAGGCTTCTGGGCAGAATACTGCTGCAAGAGAAGACCAATGACACCAGGTCAAGCTGGCATAGTGCGCCGGCAGGGAACATGCCAACACGGTACCCTGGGGACCAGCTGGCTCAGGACCCAGGCCTGCCAGAGGCACCTTCCACCCCTCTGCCTGCAATGGGGCCCAAGTGCACCTCCTGGAGCCGGGGGTTGGTGAGAAGTTCTAGCAAGAGGGTCAGCCCAGACACAGTCATGGATGTACGTTCAGAATGAAGTATTTACAGAAGTACGCGTGTGTGGTGTCTACACACTCAACTGAAAAGTCCGAAAGGCAGACTTTAGTCAGTCACCAAACTTATTGCTAAGTGAGGTACTCAAGATGTCAGCAGAGGGGGATGAGCGCAGCCTGGCCTCTTCCGTGACGGTGTGATCGTTGCTATCTGCGCATGATGACAATGTTCTTCCATCCCGGACGTCGCCCCGCCTGGCTCACCTGGTCACAGGTCCTCAGCTCACAGAACCAGTCAGCCTTATAGATTGGTCTCATCCCAAGCAGGGTCATTCAGGTTCTTTAGAACCTTCCGCACCAGCTTTTCCAGGTCTTTGCGGGCCCTCTGCTCCTCTTCCAAAGACTTCTTCATCTTTTTGTTATCCTGTAAGCCAAGCAGACCACGGCAGGTTCACGATCCTCACAGCGCACTGAGAACCCCTGCTTGAAAGACTGCACACTGTGACAGCATGCGCAGGCCTGGGGTGGGGTGGGGATCTGAGAGCAAGGCAGTGTGGTCTGCCTGGCATTGTATTCTGCCACTCCACATTCCCCCCCCCCCCCACTCCACTCCCGCCGACAGCCCCATCACAGCGAGAGGACAGGTCCCGTGGCTCTGGCTTACATGTTATAAACCAATGAGTCTTGACAATGTACTAAGACAAAAGGGCTATGAAGAGTGAAAGGCCCAGCTTTCACCCAGTCTACTCCACATTTTTAATTCTCCAATAGTTGGATAAGGAATGGAAGCAACAGCCAATGGACAGGTGTGAAAATTTTCCCGGGAGTGAAAGAAGGCATAGGGCACAGACTGGGGAGGAAGCAGGACCCAGGACATGAGAAGAGCCGGAGCCAGCGGTGGTGAGGGCTGTGCGGGGCCTCAGGCTCCCAGCACTAGCCCACCTCCCCTGAATCTGGCCTCACCTTGCTGGTCATGGGCACACCCAGCTGGCTGTGCACCTACCAAGACTCACTTCTGAGCCAGGCTTCTCAGAATTCGTAACCAGACAACATTTTATGTTACATTACTATTCCAACATGTAAGGTGGTTTATAGATAATAAAATAAAGATACAACTAAGTCACTTTAAAAACACATTTGCGCCAGGTGCTGGTGGCTCATGCCTGTAATCCTAGTTACTCCAGAGGCTGAGATATGAGGTTCAAAGCCAGCCCAGGCAGGAAACTCCGTGAGACTCATCTCCAATAAACCATTAGAAAACCAGAAATGGTGCTGCAGCTCAAGCAGTAGAGCGCTTGCCTTGAGCTTAAGAGCACTGGGAAAGCACCCAGGCCCAGAGTTCAAGCCCCACAACTGACAAAAAACAACAAAAAACCCACATTTGCTAGTCTACTCTTATAGAAGACCAATGGCTTTCCATGCCAGATTTCTAAAAGTTACAATGTCTTTTTGTCTTTTCTCCCTTGTTTTTAAGATGGAAATCTAACAAACGCACCTGTCGTAACTCTTGTACTTCATCCTTTAATGCATACACAGTATCGACAAGGCTCCTAGAAGAGGAAACAGAGCGAGCAGGTGAAGTGGGAGGCTCAGGGTTCTGCCCTGCTCAGCCTAACTAAATCTAGCCCAGATGAACACCAACAGGCAAGGGTATTTTAGAAGTGGTTTCCCAGCCTCCTCTGCAGACCTGGGGGCAGGGGAGGGAGGGAGGGAGCCTCACACAGAAGATGTCTTACTTTTCCTCCATCACTGTCTGACCGTTACTTTTAGTTTCTTCAACTATGATTTTCTCTTCTTCTGGAAGCAGTACTTGCGGAGCAGATTCTTTGCGTGAACCTAGGGTCATTAAAGAAAAAAAAGACCTCAGTGAATGTGACAGCAGAGGCCCGGAAGACAGCTACTCAACTACATTGTGCTTGCTACCATGGGACTCCAGGGTAAAGCCCCCTACCCTCCCCACTCTGCGAGCATGGCCCAGTGCGGCTCGCTCCCCAAGCATACAGAGAAAGGAAACATCAGCCTTTTTGCAATTTATTAAACTTCAACTTCTGAGTCTGAATAGCAGATTTAGCATTTCAACAATGTAGAAATTCAAGGTTCTGACCATGTTGCCTACATACTTAACCCATTTAAGCCGTTATATTATTCCAGGAATTTTAGGAAGACATACAAGACCATATAGAACACATACATTGTATTTATAAATTAAAAAAATCTGGCAATTAGAAAAACAGCAACATCTAAAAATAAAGGTATTACAGCACAAGTTCAGGAAAAGTAGTACCACTGTGTTAGCTAATGAATATTTTATACCCTAGCATCTGAACATTTTTCTAAAAGGAAGGAAGCGAGCTGTCCAGTGTGGCAGGAATGCGCAGGCTCATCAGAAGGAAGTCGAGACGGCTAGGCACTCCAGCCAATACCCAGCACAAACGCTCACATGGGGCAGCCTCTCGGTAACACTTCAGAGGTCAATTGTATCCCAAATACTCATTTTAAAAGGAGAGGGAAGAAAGCCAAATCTTTCTGAATAAAATGAAAAATCCTTGCTTCAAGTATATACATTGTATACCCATTACCTGACTCATGTAATTGTAATTTCTCTGTACATCACCATTATAATAGCAACTTTAAAAAAGATAGGATTAAACTTTAAAAAAAGAATATACCTTGTGATAAACACTTGTATTTTTGAAAAAAATATTTCAGATGTGAGTTGGCAGGAGGATATAATCCACTGTGAAATACAAGCCCTTGATATGGAGCTGGGCTCATTTAAATACCTTTGCTTGAAAAGCAGCACACACCTGTTTGAGGGAAGCTGGAAAAGCATGACAGTGGCATCAGCTTGGTTGCTTATATTTCTGGTGTCTTCCCAGAGGCTGTCAGGTCTAAGAAGGGCATTTGTGTGTCCTTGTTGTACAAAACCTCCGAATGCCACCGGCATTTTAAAGACAGGATGTGAAGGGCAGCTTTATGAACCGCCCCCCCCCCCCATGCGCCAAGCTGACGGCAAGGGCCCAAACATCACTCCCGGGAAGCGCTCCCAGACACCGGCACAGGCGGCGTGGCTGGAGGTGCAGCATGAGGAGGGCAGAGCCGGGCGGAGCAGACACCGCCGTTCTGCCGGGCAGGCGGGGAGAGGGCCCTCATATGAACAGCCAAGCACACATCTGCGTCACGCAACAAGAGCTTCACGAGACTCACGTTTCAGTGAAAGAAGGACTTTGTGTATGCGGACAGTAATGTCAGTCTTCCAATCAAACTCCAGTACTTTCTGTCAAAGCCTAAGGAGCAGGTGTATCTGGTGTATTCACAAGTTTGTCAAAGACTACTTGGATGGCAGCCCTCCGCTCACACTATAGAGGGGTGGGGGATGTGGTCCATCCACGCCTCAGGGCAGGGGGGGGGGCTTCAAGGTAGTTCAGGGAGGAACACTATTTTAAAACCACCGCCTGCTCCTAGCAACAGGCCCCTCAGAAATCTGTCCAGAGGACAGAGCTCCCATGGAAGACCTCGACGAGGCAGCACAGCCGGTCCTGGGCTCGTTTCCTGGTGGGTGCACGCAGCACGACACGAGCGCGCGCGCAGCATGGGAGCAGCACCATCGAATGCTCCTGCGCCTCCCACGCGTGAGGTGTTACCTGTCTCGCAGAAAAATACGTAAGAGACAGGCCTTTTGCCACATGTGTAGAAAACCAACAGCTCCTGGTAGAGAGGAGCCAGCTGGGGACAGTGCAGATCTGCGGTTCCCACGCATCCCAGTTAGCCACTCCCCCACTGTCCGGCTCTGGGCCCCTACTGCAGATAACGGAGTCAAATCAAAAAAGGCATCAGTGGCAAAGTTACAGCCTGCAATACATTTCATCAGAAGCAGCAGCAAATGAGATGGTGTAACTGCATCACAGGCAGATTAAGTACTACACATTTCAAGTTTCTCCCACTCAGCTAGCCTTGGGATAATCTGTTTCCATTATCTGCCTCCAAGCCAGTAGTGTGACAAACAAACCTGCCAGGTGACAAAAGCAGTGTCACTGAGCAGAGAAGGGCTGAGGAGTGGCTGCCAGTGGGGCCAGGCATCTCATGCCCTGGTGACAGGCGCCCTCTCATCACTTAGCACTTCTTAATTCATTACTTGTGAAAGAGATCACAGGAGCTGTCATGTCAGCAAAGCTGTTCTGGGAGTGAACACAGTCAGTGTATAGCTATCTCTTACCCAATGGATTCTTAGATACAAGCTTCAAGTTACAATAAGCAGCATCATTAATTTAAGGAACTATAAAACTCAGCAAAGACTGGCTAGATCTTGCTTTTCCAAGAACTACATGCTCAGTAGTGGCACAATAGAACCCAGGGACTGAGAAACGTCATTGGTGGTTCTGACTATGAGCTAGGAGATCTGCAAATGAGGATTCTTAGTCCACACAGCTATCCAGGCCTGATTTCAATATCTTCTTAGATGACTAAAAAAAAAGTATCTCCTTTCAGAACAGAAATGAAGGAATATTTATAAACCCTGGTGGATTATAAGCTGACTACATCTTTAGCAAGAAGGCTTTCCAAAGCAGACAAGGGTCTCAGCAATTACTCAAGTACCTTCACTGAATCATCTAGTCTGGAAGAAGGACCGCATTTGTGATGGCTCAGGACAGCAGAGATCTGTATTTCTTAAACCTGGGTGTTTTAGGGAGACAGAGGCAGGCACTACAGCATAGCACGTCAGGACATGCTGAGGAGAGCTGTGCTTTTTGGAGATACACAATGCACCTTGAGAAAAAACAGGTTTTGATCATGTTTGCCATACAAATACACACAAAGCTTCACAAATCCAGCCCTTCAAAACCCATCTGAAGAAGCTTTCTTCCACCTTGAGAACGAACAGCCTGCAGTTCTCTAGGCAAATCTGATAAACGCCAAACTGGCCTACAATCCAAGAGTCTGTGAACCACACACCGAAGGTGCGTCCCTGCTGTGAAATGCAACAAAAATAGACACCCAGCAGCAGTTCAGCACTTCTCAAACATGGAGCCTTCAGACCTCAGGTGTCTGAGCCATCCTGAGTGACGGTGCCACACAGCCACCATTAGGGCCACTCAGACACCCCTGACTGTAGACCTCACTTTGAAAAATACAGATCTAATCAAGGAATCCCATTTTACCAATGCAGAGCCAGGGCCCTGATGTCCCTTCTGTGCTGCTTACCAGGGCCACAGCAACGACACATAGCAGCTGACTGACTCGGGGTGACAGGGCCCAACTAACAGACCCACGGCATGTGTGTCTGTCTAAAACCAAAAACCCAAGAACAACCTAAGCTTCTCACAACGGAACATCGAGTGCCCGCCTGGGCAGCAGACAGACATGTTTGTGATGTGTCTTCTTCAATCCATGACTTTTCCACAACTGCACCAATTACACTCAACTGAAGCAATAAGTTGTACACAAAAATCCGCTCCCAAGTCACACAGGCACCTTCCTTACAGCTGAGAATGAGTCTGCTCTTCCTTCCTTAGAAAGGGAAGAGCACACAGCATCTGCTTAATGTGGACACCAGTGCCAAACTGCACCCACCACAAGGTGCTCTGTTCCTGGGCTGAGATTTCTCTTGAGCTGAGTGTGCACTTTGTATAACAAAAGAAAAGAAACTGACATAATAAAAACTGTACCAGAAGTTGTGGGTTTTCTCACTTGTGCACAAACACTGCAGGGACAGGGGAAGGAATGCATGAGCAGTGTCGTGCCTGCCTAGAGCACAGATGCCTAGAGACAGTCCTAGTTCTTCTCTGGCCTGGCCTGTCTCAGGAAAATGCTGCATCTGAGCAGAAGAGCTAAGTCATATTGAACTACAAACTACACTATTGCCCCTTCCCCACATAACAAATATTGAAAGTCACGGGCTAACAAAGGCAAAATTTATTTCAACTGTACATAACAGGTGTCTTTTTTATATATATAAAACAAACACTTCATTGCCATATGCAACCACAAACAATAATATGCATACTGTACAGTACAATGCAACATTCAGATATACATCCAGTTGAGTTTTCGATGGCACTCATGTACTAAAAATGGCTTTTCCCATTCACAGATAAAGAGCACAGTCATAGAGGTTTTTCAGGTCTTATACCACTATATACACACTACCGTGTTTTGGCAATTTTACGCAAAACACATAATTAATATAGCTTATTAAATACTTCTGGTGTGTGTGAATTTTGAAGGGAATACTGTCCGGGCCATCTGCAAAGGCCTGGTGATGGCTTAGACCTACCTTCTAGCTCAGTCTTCATCCTTCTGTTCTAAGAGCAACTGTGCAGAGACCACAGAGCTGCATAAACATAAGGTACCGTGTCAGCAGGACTACAGTTCCACACAAGCCATGTCACCTCTGCCACTCAAGTGCCATCTTCTGGGCTGTGGCACTGCTACTTCTAACCAGGTCACAAAAGCTAGTGGCGTCAGACACTCAAAACAAATGTAAACAAACAACAAAAGAAAAGGTCAGGCTATTATTCTACAGTGAACCTAGCATGAACAAAAATCGGTGTCAAATGGTTCTGATTCGTACAAAGGGAGTGGTGGTGTAGGTGCCATTGATGTGCCTCCTCAGACCAACGCTGGCACCTGGCGGGCAGCAGCTGTGCCGCACACAGCATGGAAACTGGCCATCAGCACGGATTAAGTCCCAAAGCAAGGATGCTCTGTGCAATGTTAGAAAGGACTCCCACTCGGGGGAGGGGCCAAAACAAAACTCCCTTCCCCATCACATTCATGATATTGAATAAGCATATGAACCTCACAATTATACTTTTCAGTACTGCCATTTGCTATTTGGTTGAATCTACACAAACCTCAACTCTTCCTGGAAATCAATACTGGGTGCTAATCTTCAAAGATTGTTCTTTGAATTTATTTATACTAGTTGATACAAAAATACAAAATCTCCAGTGGGTGAGAGCAGTTCTGTAGCTACTAAGGACAGACAGGAGTCCAGAAGGAGCAGCTGCCGCCCCGCCCTGCCCCGCCCTGCCTCATCCCAAGGCTCCTATGCCACCCTGTGCCATGCAGATGCAGCAGCCCTCCCCACGGGGGGGGGGGGGGAAGGGGGGGAGGCACTGGCCAGGGTTCACTAGCACCTCTCACTGGCAAGCTGCAGGATCCCGCCCCAAGAAAGGGTGATATTGCATCAGAGAACGCTCTGTGCAAAGGAGACACAACACTGAAGACATGGGCGTGGCCAGGAGGGCGGGTGGTGAAAACAGCTGGAACGGCAGCCACGCTGAAGAAAGGAAAAAACGTTATTCCCAATTTACTATGGCATTCTGTTTCTGAAGCATGTTTCAGTGAATACTTAAAATACAACTAAAGGTTCCATTTTAACAGCAGAGCATGGGAGAGAGAACACAGTTCTGCCCACAGCAATGACCAGAAGTGGGGCTGTTGCTACGACTGAATGCAACTCATCACATTCAGTTCTTTCTCAAGCAGGGACTGGCCCAAGTGACACCAGTGAAAACTCCTTACAACAAATCCACTTCCTCAGGTGAGTTACATGGTAGCCTCCCTATGGATTACAATGAAGCATTGGAGTAGTGTACTACAGGGTTGCTGTAAATGGAGTTTCACTGCAGCCGGTTGCTGAAAGCAACGATGTGCACATGGCTTACAGAGAGCTCAAGTATGGATGTCGGGGGCAGCCAGGCCATGACGGAAGCCAAGCACTTAGCCCAACACCTCTGGACCACAGGAGTTGGCACAGAGTGGCACAGATTTGTTGGTTTCATGTAAGGGCAGCCACTCAGGCAGTGTGGAGAGATGACGAGGGCACGTCTGGGCTGTGGCCATGAGCGAGCTCTCCTTGACAAGGGAGAGCTCCTGCCCGACAGCCACTGCACAGCACCTGCAGGGAGCAGCATGGGGTGTTCGACACCTGGGCACCTGTCAAGGCCCACGCACCCTTCTGACCAGGCACCAGAACAGCCAGCAGACTGCAACTGTGTTGCGTTTGCTACAAACATTCCTCTCACCGTGTCCCCACAATCACTCCATCAAATGCACATTATACATAAAAAATTTTAGTCCCTAAAGGTAAGGCCAGGGCCCCTCCGTGCTGCTGGCATTTGAGATTGCAAACCTGTGTGGTTTTGGTATAAAATATAAAAGTGTCCATACAGCTACATCCAAAAAGAAGTGTAACAGTTGCTACACTGAAATTAAAAAAAAAAAAAACAACAACAATTTGGAAATTTTATAAAACAACTCCCTTGGGAAAAGCACCCTGGGCACAGGCTCACGGGGGCCCCCTCTCCCTCCAGCAGCAGCAATTTGAATGTGTGCTCAGACTGGCAATGGAGCCTCCGCCAGGTACAATGGGAAATACCAGGAACATTCTTAAAAGTTGTTAAAATATCACATAAAAGAGACAGGAACAGCAAGAAACATCTAGGAAAAGCAGGCTGCGATACAACAAGCATTGGTTAAGAAAAGCTCAGAGTGCATTAGTTCTGGTGAGAGATATAGGAGCAGCAGCTCTTACGAGATGCGGAGCCCATTCTGTAACTATGGGCTGTCCATATACTGTCATACTCAGAGTCTTCCGAGAGGTCTGAGGGCTCCAAACGAGAAAGGCTACTGCGACGACCCAAGGAGTCTAGACTTGATTGGTCGTCATCAGCCAAGACGTGATTATGCATCAGGTCAGTGCCTTGCCATGCTAAGACGGGGGATGGAGTGACAGGTGCAACAGGCAGAGGTGGGATGAGGAGGGACGGACAGGAAGAGCCACAACCAAGACATGGAACAAAAAGCAAAAGGTGATGGGAAGAGAAGGAAAAGAGAAAACATTGTTAAAAAATGGCAACAACGCTTGTTTCCCCTCATTTAAAAGGCTGGGTCTTAATAGCACAGCCCTCAGAACAAATAAAGCACAACCCTTAAAACAGAGCTAGAGAACTTCACCCAGATCAGCATTTCAAACTGGCCTTCATAAAGATAAAAAGAGAAAGTTCTACCTAAGAAATAGTCTACAAATTAAGCCCATGTCCAAATGATGATCATATACACGTTTAGCAACTAACCTACTCTACAAACAAATGGTTTTATTTAGAATACTATCTATAAAAAGTACCGCTTATGTGGCCAATTAAAATTATTTCCTATTCAATAAATATGTATAAATATGTCAAATGCAAAATAACTTCAAGTTTTTTTTTACTGACTTCTTCAATTGTCTCTTTGCCAAAATATACTATATAACCAGCAGGGGCCTAAACTTACCTTACTGGTCTAAGCAGCATGGACACGTCTACCTGGCTCACAGGGCCAGCCAGGGCTCAGCCTGTGGCACAGAGGAAGTGGGAAGCTGTGTTCACAATGCTATCACCCTCACATAGACCCTTTATGCTCAGGAAGACAGGTGTGGGCTGGCAATGTCACTGTGCTAAGAGGACAGAAAGCAGTAGAGACAAAATGGGGCAAGGGCCTCCCGGAGGGTGCTAAGCTGTGATGGTGAGTGGCTGGCCATGGCCATCAGTCACATGTGAACAGAGCCTTGATAAGCTCTTCCTGGACCAGAGGCACAGACCATTTTTACTGGGCACTTAATGTGGAAGAGCGTCCAATGTCCACCCCCTCCACACGCCATGACAAAATCCTCAACTTCTTGGCGCTGGGGGTACACATGTGGAGTTACTGACGTGCCTTGGTGGCACATGTCCAAATGTGACTTCTGAGAGCCCAAAGCAAAATCCCAGGCACGGCCAATGGGAAGAAGAGTGTGCCAAAGGTGGGCGGTGCACTGCTGCCCCTCAGACAGCCAGCAGCCATGCCAGCCCCACAGGCGCTCACAGACCTGCTGTGCCCCACCCCTCACACAAGACTACTGCGCTCATATCCACTTCAAGGAAGCGAAATTGAGATAGCCAATTTAAAACATCTCAATTCAAAAACCCTTCAGAGATTGATGGCCACATTTTCAGCCTATTACTTAAGATGGCATCACTATCAAAGGAGGAAAGAAAGGACTTTTAATCACAATCATCTGACTTAGAAATCATTGCTTCACTGTACACACATATATTCCAGTTTGCTTGGGCACGTGGGCCTTGCTCCTTCCTGGTGCTGATGACTAACTACTACAAATAGATGCTTTCCCCAGAGAGTGAGAACTGAAGAAGTCTCAATGTCATAGGCAGAAGATGGTGCAATGCTGGGAAAATACTAGAAATGGTTTGAAACTTCTGGATGGACCCACAAATTCTACATGGGCTCTAACTTGCCATTCCTATCCATTACCATCCTCTCTGCAGTCACCTTTAGCAAAGGCTAAAGTCACTGAAGAGCCTTCACACACGCACGTGCTCAGTTTAAGGCAAGGCATGACCCTGGCCTAAGCTGCCTTCCTCCCTGTAGGTGATGAGGAGGGAAACGAGCGCCTCACAGTCAGAGGAGTGGAGCCAGAACACACCAAACATCACAGATGTGTCCATCATATCCAGTTCTCAAAAGCAAAGGAAGAGGACCACTGAGGCTCAACTGGCCACAGGAGCCAAAGGGTAGGGGCTGGGCACCGCTCCTGGTGGCTGCCAGGCCCTGCTGCCCTCCCACCTAAGGGGAGATGACTACCAAGTCAATCAGTTGTTTACTCCCAACTTTTGAAGCCTCCTTCTACCCCCGGCCCCAACAGAGGCCTTATATTATCTTTTGGGCAATTCTAGGGATCTTTTAAACAACAACCAGCCCCAGCACTGCTCCTTTGCTTAAGCGTCTCCTATGACAGTCCCGGTCTTCAGCATCCTCACCTTCCTACGCACGATGCCATGATGCTACCTAAAGAGGTACAGCGGAGACCTGGGGTCCTCTAGCTTGCCACTTCCTAAGCTCCAGACCCACTACCCACCCCAATATCAGCCACTAAGAAAGAGTAGCTGTCTCAGAGCAGGACGTCACCGTGACACTTACTGGAATTCAGCGTCTGCCGCGTTTTGGCGCTTGTGCAGTAGGCTTCGATGACTTTCAGAATCTGGGCGTCTTCTTCTAGGGCAGCTGTGCCTGTTGAGAGATGAACGCCTGTCACCATCCTACACTCAGTGGGAGCTACACCGCCAACTCACCAGAGAGCAGCCGTGGGGGCCCAGAGGCGCAGGTTCAGTGGAACTCACTGTTTGTCAGGGAACTCATCTCCATTCACAAGTAGCGAGTACATCCAAAAGGATTTTCATTTTTGGAAAATATATTTTATTTGTAACTTCTCTGGCAAAGAGTTAGTAGCCTAGTTGTATACTAATCCATTAGAAAAAAAATCTGCCACACACAAACCGAAAACTGGGTGAGAGATAAGGATAAGTATTTCATAAAGGAGCAGCAAAGACAATAAGAAATACTCTCGCTAGAAAAAGAAGAAACAATCAAGTATCCCATCTTTACAGCTGGCTGCTGGACTTACAGACTGCCCACCCAATGACTACAGGCCTACCAAGGCACACTGCCCCTGACTCAGCCGGAACTCCATCTACTAGGTTCAGGAAGCCCCAGTCAGACTCTCCAGATGATGAGTGATCTGGGCAGTGGGAGACCAGACAGCCCCTCGCCAGCAGGCAAAGGCCCATACAGTCAGCCTATTTTCTGTGTTTTCCCCTTTTCATTTCTTCCTTTGCTAGGACACAATCTGGATATATATTTTTTAAAGCTCTAACAGAAGAAAATGAGAGAATATAAAGTTCTTTATAGCTGTATAATTAAGCCTCAATATAACTTACGAGTAAAACAAGCCACCAGATAATAGTTTGCACTGCCAAAAGTTAAGTCTATTGGTAAGCCTTAAATTTCACTACCTGGGCCACTAAGCACTCTCCTTCAGACAAGAGCAAGCCGGCCCTGCCCAGGGACCACTCTCTGGGTAGCAGAGACTCTGTGGGCTCAGAGATGTGTTCTACAGGGGCATAGTCTGGCTGCTATAACCACCTGCCCAGTTCAGAGGTGGAAGATCAAAGATGTAAAGGCAAAAAAGAAGTACGCTGCTGCGCTTCCAAACACAGCCACACTGGTGCCACGCCCGATTACAAGGGGCAGTGGCAGTGGCTACCAGGAGGACACCACCGCTGCTGTGCAGTGGTACTGCTGCAGACTAGAGAAACCCAGTGCCCACAGCACACAGAGGGCCCCAGGCAGGGCCCCATGCAGCACAACGGCTTTACCACTCAAGGTCTGCTGAGCACTCAACACGCACCACTCGGGGCTACTTGAGACCCACTTATGAACCACACCCTCTCGGCCCTGCACCCTCTGCAGGGCTACGTGTGAACCACTTATGGATCATCCACAGTCCTCCTGTCCCCACCCGTTGGGGGGTGGGCAGGACAGGGGTGCAGGTACCCCACTGTTTCATCGCCAACCCCCCCCCAAACACCCAACTTAACCCAAGCCAGCCTTCCCAGGGTGTCAGAACCACATGTCCACCTGATGCCACCTCACAAAGCAGGTGACAACTGGGCATGTGGCAGCCATGGTCTGCACATGCTGCAGGATGGACACTGTATGCCATCCCTGTCCTCCATTTGGGATGGGGGCAATTTTACAACATCTTCTGGCTTTGCCACATGTCCTCTGGGGCCACAGCTGAGCTGTGCTCTGTCTTCACAGCCAGCCTGTCATTCCTACCAAGGCCCACATCCCCAGCAGCACCCACATCACTACTCTTAACCCACTCAAGGCACCCACAGGTATCTGACCACCTGCCCACACTCGGAGGACACTCTCTACGCCCTAAGCCATGGAGCTTCCTGCAGCCCCCCAACTACAACCTAGGCCCAGATCCTGGGCTGTCCTTCCACTACCCCCTCCCAGCAGCCGGCAGCACTCCCCAGACCACACATCGAGGACGACCCCATCACAGCTCTTCTGTGTCATCCGACGGCATGTAGGCTCTTGAGGTCAGGGTGTTCTCCTCACTCACACCCCCGTCCCTCATGCAGGCACAGAAGCATCTACACATGGAAGGTACATGGCAAACAACTGCCATCCCTACAGTCCACCCACTGTCCCCTATCTGACAGTGGCAGCTTTCAGGAGCAGAGTAGGTGCTGCCAGACACCAGAGACCCTCTCACCTTGAGAAGGGCGGTCAGAGCCTCTCACCCAGAGAGAGGACGGGTGACCCTGGCACACTGGCAGATGCCATGAAAGGTGGGTGCTGTGGAGATGTGCCTCCCATGAGGAGGAAGGCGCCCTGTGAGGCTTGCAGCAACCCTGTGGTGCAGGCCTGAAGCCCAGGCTAGGCAGGCACTGATCTGAGAACTGCTACCCCTCTCCCCCGCAAGTAGATCATCAGTCATCCTCAAGTTCTGCCTGAAATGCTCTCTCATGAGCCTTTTAAGAAGAACACCTGAAGTGTCTCCATGGGTATGAGGAGAATGCCAGAGGTACAAGGCCCATCTGACCCTCTCTGTCACTGTGAGTCACTGGCTGGCTGGCAGCCCCGTCCACAGTGAGGGGTCAGGCCAAGTGAGAGGCAGCACCTCCTACGGTGGTGCTTCCCTTCAGCCAGACATCCATCTGCTTGCTGTATCCTTTCTCCCAGATAGGGGCATGGAAATGGTGGGAAGTCTTTCCATTCCATCTAGAAGCTCTATGTGTCCCCAGGCTGTCAACTGAGCACCCATATGTGAGATTTCACTATGAGAGCCACGTGTGAACCTCGAGGTGGAGCCAGACATTGCCTTATGCCCGCCCCCGAAGTGTGACAGGGAAGAGGCCCAAACTCCAGCATGGAGACAGCTGGCTCAGGCTGAAGGGGAGAGGAGAGGAGAGGGGAGGAGGGGAGCCTACAGGCAATCACAGGACCGTGGCTGAGCATGGGGAGAGCAAGAGACACCCCTACCTCCTTAGTACAGAACCAGCCCTGGCCTGGCTGTCAGGTAGTGATCTGGACCAGGTGGAGTGGGGCAGGCAGATCCTACAACAGGCCACAGTCCACGCACATGCTGCCTGCCTGCCTGGTTGCCAACGCCTCGACACGCAGGCCCTACTTTTATCTAAACCCCCTGGAAGGCCACTGATGACATCCTGTTCCCAAGCTCCACCGTGACACAGAAGCCATGGTCCCACCCATGCCTCGGTACTCACTCTTCCTCAAGGCAAACTCCTCATCTGAAGGCTTCCGCTCCGGCTTGCGCTTGGGCAGCAGCTTCTTCATGGTCTTGGGGCTCTTACTAAGATCCTGAGGAGACACATAGAACAGAGCTACCATGGAGCCCCAGGGTACTGCTGTGGAGGAAGAGGGCAGCGTCGTCTCCCGGCGATGCTGCCCACCTCGCTCACACAGCTGTCCGGCACTCATCCAAAACCCAGAGGAACCTTTTGCCACTGGTCACTAACACTCTTGAAAGCCCTGGCTTAATGTCCCACGGTGCCACCCAGCAGAATTACTCTGGCTGTGGGGGAGAGAAAGGTCAGGTGTCACGTGTACTCTCCTCCCATAGGAATGATAAAAGACCAGAAAACCATGGATATTTTGTGAAAGGGAAGTAAAAGCTCTTTAAGAAATACGTGGATGGGAAGAAGGGTGCCCTGGAATGGAGGAGGGTAAACAAATGCAGTCTTTAAATTCAATGCACATTTTGTCAAAACTGAACTGCGCAGCCTGCCTGCTGGGGAGGATGGGAGAACAGTGGATGGGGTGACACTGATCAAGATGTGCTTCACTAGTGACCTGACTTTTGGAATTGTAACCACTGCATACAACTACTTAAAATTTTAAAGAAAGAAAAAAAAGAGATGAAGCCACAGGAAAAAAATGAAATGAGTTGGTGAGGACGGGCTCTGAGCACAGAGAAACCCAGTAACCCAGTACTAAGGCTCGGGGCTGTTCTGCGCCCCAATTCAAGTGTATGCGTGGTGAAGAGGGAGCAGCCTGGCCCCTCTTAGCATCCATTAGTCACAGACAGGGAACGAGGCTGACATCCAGCCCATTTCAATTTTACACTCAAAAAAAGAGGTGTGCTATAGCTATACAGTATGTCAGACCCAAAGCAAAAGGGAACTGAGTCTGCCTTGCCTGTGCCCCAGAGAGCCTGTGTACACGCTCAGGCAACATTACCTGGCCTCAGAGCCAGCCAGGCTCATGGGCTGCGGACAACACTCCAGGAGGCCTCAATTCTCGGCAGCCCCTCCCTGCTGTCGTGAGGGTGTGGGGGCTGCTCCCACCTGGCCGCAGTTAGCCTGTGCCCACCACCGTGCTTCCTTCTTGCTCTGCCTGCTTCTTTGCCTAACAGTTTTAACCCCAGCAACGACATCTCCAGTTCTTGCTAATACCTCACTATGTGTGCTAATACCTTCACACTATGTGACAAAGAATATGCTTGAAGCAATTGCCCACATTAAAAAGCTTCCAACCTGGTATGTGACTATCCTGGACAAAAACAATATCCACCAGGAGCAGAACCATGGAAGCTGATTCATCTTTCCTGAGTGTTTTTTCTGTACTACAGGAGGGGGAGAGGCTGCCCAGCGGCCCTACTAGCATGGTAGGGCCAGAAGCAATGAGGGTGCACCACCACACTCGCACTCCTGCACTCACCCTCACAGATGTGCATATGAACTTGCACATGTGTCACACTCATCGCCACACTGCTCACACTCACTGCAAAAGTGCATACTCATGGCAGTGATGGGCTTTCTTCTGCATAAGCAGGCATAGGTGAGAGCCCGGGAAGCTGCTAACACCATTTAGGCACAGGAGCTGCAATGTACTGGAACCTCGCGTGTATATAAAGCTGGGCTTCAGCCAGAGCAGCAGAGGCAGGAAAGAGATGCCTTAAGACTGCCCTCACAGTACTGGTACATGTGCTCTTCCTCTCAGACAATGGCAGGCTTCCTGGACAGATCCCTAGCACAGTAAAAGGGCATGCATAAGGAAGGTGAGGCCCTCACAGCCACAAGTTCACAGCCACCACAGGCTCAGCCACGCCCATCTCCAGCTCTCCCAATGGCCTCCCGACAGGCACCAGGAGGGCATCAATGTGCTGTGCAGACAGGCCCCTCTGGGCACTATCTGGAGGCCTTGGAGCATTGGCATCACCAGAAGGAAACAACAATAGACTGAGGGTAGGGCCTGTACACAGTTCTGAAGAAGGCACAGAGAAACATAGGACTTCACTTCTGAATTCACTGGACGCACAAAGTGACCAATCTATAGACCCTGGCTCGCGGCATGCTTGTCGGTGGTCGGTGGTGTCTGGGTGGCTGAAGGGTCTCACCTCCTTGTAGCAGAGGGCAGCCGAGGGCCGGAGGGGAGGCGCAGGCCGCAGGCAGCTCAGGCTCCATGGCTTGGGGGTCTTCGGAGGCTCCAGAGGTCCCCAACTGATGGTGGTGTGCGTGGCGCCATGGTGGGAGGGGTGGGGGAGCGTGTGGTACGTGGGCGCCAGCGCCACGGGCTTACTGTCTGCGTGCTTGCTGGATGGAGGGATGGGGTGGGAGGGGAGCTGTCGGCACAGAGAGTGAGAAAAGCAGAGACGGCATGAGACTGGTATGGTTGCTGCACAAGAACCCGATCACATCCAGCTTTGCCAGCAGTGGGTTTCCAGTGGGCACAGGCCACCCTCCATTTCAGTGATAGCTGGCTCTGGCTGTGAGAAGCAACTCTGCGCTGGGGCTAAAGGCCAGTTCCCCAAAGGCTACATCTGCCAGACAGGAATGTTTGGGAAAAGGTTCACCACTGAGCATAAACCACTGAGTATCATCATCAGAAGTCCATACAAGAACAGGCCTTCACAGACGGAAACTTGAAGGACAGTTCTTCCAGTCACACTTAAACTACCACCTGGTCATACCGGGAAGGAGCGAAGCTAGGGCCTGACCACTGGGCCAGAAGCAGGGTAAGGCAGGCAGGGCTAGTCTTTCTGGCACTCAGCAGCCAGGTTCATTTCTAATGGAGGCCTTCATATACAAAGGGCTGAGAGACTGATAAAGAGCCATCTACCCCATCATAAAAAATTGTATCTTTAAGATAATCAAGATATTCTCTTAACTCAGTTCAATCTAATTTATCAGAGGTATGTTATTAACATTAGGTTTGTATTCCTGTACATCCTCAGAACATTTCATCACATTGCTAATGAAACAAAATCTTAAAGTAGCCAACATTCAAAATGAAACACTGGGCCCCAAGTGCCTCATGGGGCAGGCAGAGGGGTTCTGGGAGTCCACACCTGGTGGAGCCATCTTGCTAAAGGTGTGACAGACCCCAGAAACAAGGCCAAACTCCACCACCCCCACCAATCATGAGCTCCTAGATAGGAGCTAGCTGCTATTGACCACTACTACACAAAACAAGCTTTCTCAAACGAGGTAACTTACATGCAGAGAAAGTTGTGTCAAACATTGTCTGACTTGTCCTCATCTAAGAAAGTTATAGGAGTATATTTGATGGGAAAATGAAAATACATTCAAATTGGATCCCAGGCAGAACAGAGAGAATCCCAGAGATGCTCCCAAGAGCATGTAGAGCACTTCAAATGTGGTAACTGAGGTAAGCATCTTCTCCCAACCCTCAGGGACTGCACATGCCCTGCTGAAGGGTACCAGCCTAGCACCATTGCCTGACATGAAAGAAACAATGAAGTACAGGCCCAAGTATACAGCAAAGTCTGCCCAAAAGAAAACTATACTTTCAGGCTGCAACTGAAGATCTGAATGAGAAACCACATACACTGCCCTGCAGACATGCTTCAGGCATATCTACAGCCCCTAGGTAAGTGGAGTTTCATGAAAACTAAACATCTACAGGGATTTTTATGTAAGGAGAAGTGTCTAGAGCATGGCCATTTGTGTGGGCCAGCATTAGTTCTAGCCTCCACCTGCTGACAGAGCAAGAGCAGGAGACAGCCATCTCCCAGCTTCAGCTTTGGGGTAAATGTAATGATGACCCTTCATATGAAGACAGGAAAGTGAGCCACAAAAGCAGAAACTGTCCTACTAGTCTAATGAAGACGGGAGGAAAATTAAAGGGAAAATGCCTATTAAATCTTAATTTGTTTTTTTTTTTGGTTTTTTTGTCGGTCATGGGGCTTGAACTCTGGGCTTAGGTATTGTCCCTGCGCTCTTCAGCTCAAGGCTAGTGCTCTACCGCTTGAGCCACAGTGCCACTTTGGGTTTTCTAGAGGTTTATTGGAGATAAGAGTCTCACAGACTTTCCTGCCATCTAGGGCTGGCTTTGAACCGAGATCCTCAGATCTCAGTCTCCTGAGTAGTTAGGATTACAGGCGTGAGCCACCAGCCATAATTTGTTTTTTGAAAAGCCCTATTGAATTTTAACTAAAGAGGATAATGTTAAAATAATTCAGCGTCTATTTCTTAATCACAAACAGTTCAACGAGGCCTGGATTTGGCTGTTGATTTGAAATGCTGTGTATCTTTAAAAAAAATCAAAAGCTGTTGGGCTTTTTATTAATTGAAAAATAATGCCTTTCTTAAAATTAATGTTAAAATTAGATTGTAATGTCTTTAACACAAATCTGGTTGCCTTCATGATCACAATTTACCTTTTAAAAAAAACCCACAACATAACAAATGTAGTTAAAATTTTCAGAAAAACACTCCCTATGAATTGAGTGGTCCTAGGGTGTTGGTGGGCACCCCATGATCTTGGGAGTGGCTCTGAACAGGCTAGCAAGACACCCCACATCAGTGATCTCATGAGCATACGAGGCAGAGGGCACCACACTCCCATGTGAGACCACAGCCCACAGAGCGCAGGAGGCAGGTCTCAGAACCCTGACACAGCCAAACCCCTCACCCCAGGCCACCTCTAGGGCCAAGGAGAAGCATGGGAGCCCTTACGGTGTGGGACGGCACAGAGTGGGGCTTGATGGTGGGGTTGCCCATGGCTGTGACCTTCGTTTGCTTCTGCAGGTGGTCCACCCATTCATGGAGGTCCTGTTGGTTGTTGCAAGATACCAGTATCCGCTCAATCATGCTCCCTAAGATGAAAAAGAATGGGTGAATACACACACACTTACACATCCTCCCAGAAATACACAAGCAAGGATCTGCACAGAGGGCAGCTGTGACACTGCATGGTGCTGCAGATGCACACCAGCTTGCACCCATCACCTGATATTTCAAATGCGTTTCTATGGTTTTCGCTGTCCTCAAGCTTTGTGATTGTCATTCCTGTCGTTGGTAGCTTTCCCTAAAAAGACCCCCCGACAAAAAAAAACATAATCAGTGCCTTTCTAGTAGAGAATGTGCTATTATAAAACATAACTGACTTTAAAAATGACAGAGAAACATTGTGCACCAAATTGTGCATTGTGCTATTTGCTTATAGCAGTACATGTGTAAAATTAAAAACTACCTAAAATAAGACATAATACCACAGTGAAGACACCAGAAGGTAAAGTATAAAACTGAACAGAATGTTCATCTGTTGATTTCTCTAAACATAAACAGACACAAAAAACATTACACTATTATAAAATCAGAGTACAGCAGCTGTTTCAAAGGACATGTCAGTATTATGAAGCAAACAAGACCCTGAATCTAAGAGCAGGAACTGGGGGGCAGTAACATGGGGCTGGCTGCAGACAGGTGCTAACAGCAGCAACCCCTGACAATGAGAGGACCTGGACCTGGGCCTGAAATGTCAGCTTTGAGATCCCAGATGGAGGATGAAAAGCTGATCCTTATGAACAAAGCAGATGCCAACACAAAATATCTCGTCCCACAGCCATGGCCAATTGGGCTGAATCTTTAGAAAAAGTGTGTCGTTGTTTGAGGCTAAGTTGTCAGTAAGGGGAGGGGGGCTCCATCAGCATGCCAACAGCAGCACTTCCCAATACGGTATGAGCAAGCTGCCCCAACAGGACACGGGGCAATGTACAAACTGCTCATGAAAATCAACATCTGGGAGGCAGTGTACTAGGCAGCCTGCATCCCCCCTCCCCTGACATCCCACAGAATGCATAGGGAAGACTGCTTGCACCCATCTCAGAGCCAAGAACCACCCACTTCTTGCAGGATTCTTTGAAGAAACCACTGGAAGGACTGAAACCGCAAGGTTAGGCAGGCACATGCTACATATGACGGGATAATGAAGGTCTGTGGGTGTCAGACCCCTTACAACACACTTTCTTCTATACCAGCCCACTGAACCCATTGTGCCTTGTGGAGCCCAACATGCTTTGCATGAGATGATGCTGTGCATGGCATACTGACATGCCCAAGCACCGTGTCTTTACAATACGGCCCCACAGGTAAACACTCCCTTTCTTACAAGTACTTGCATTCTCCATCATACACAGTAACAAAACACTCACTCAAAGCAATGAGAAGTAGATGGGGTTTAGACAGTAGGATGCCCAGGTGGCAAGTTTCTTCCTATCTGAACAACACTGATTAAAAATAGCAAGTGCCAAAAGTGCCACTGGCCACACACAGATGTGTGTGACACAGTGCAAAAGTTCAAAACCAGTGTCAAAATGACTTCCATATCCCTCACAAACAATAAACATAAATCCAACTGTGTTTTACCTGATAGATGAAACCGCTCATCCTGGGGCTGGCAGATAGCATTAGTAAAAGGTTGGGGAAGAGCAGAAGATATCTTTCATTCTTTTCCTTAAAAAAAAAAAAGTAATTTTCTAAAACACACTTATTGGATAAAAAAGGTCAGATACTATCAAAAACAGATTTTCAATTGTAAAAATGAAACAAGAAAACCTATTGGGGATACTGTTTTGGGGGGAAAGAGGTCAGTGAGTTTGACAGAGAGGAACACAGCTGAAATGTGTGGAGATGAAATTTTTCATCTCCTGTCTAACTGATATAAATCAATAAAAAAAATTACTTGCTAATGTTATACTATGACCTGACAAATATTTCCTATTGGTATTTCTACTAAATTGTATTAAGTTAAATGGAAACGGTTATGATCAATTCTGATATAAAAAGAGCACTTTAACCAACAGGTTAAATACTTTAACATATAAAAGCTAACAAAGAAACTATTTAAAAAGTTCCCTGGAGTCACAAGCACATTATTTTAGTTCTAAAAGTTTCTTTTCATAGATCAGAAAAGAAAAACTCAGAAAATGTACTGAGAGGCAGGGAAATAGGGGGCTTCTACAAGTCAAACTGTTCTCATTTGTCTCTTAGTTTTTCCTGGTTTGCATGGAATACATGAAAGCATGACTTGTATATTAAAATGACTTGATAACATAAACCAGAGAGATCACATCTGCAGACAAAATTTCCCAAGAGTCTAGGATACACACAGACAGGGACATCAGAATCCTATCCATGCACTGAGACACCAGCCAGACACTTGTACACTCTTGTACACTCTTCAGCACCGACTGCACAAAGTGCCTTGAAAAGACAACAACCATACTGTGAGTTGGGCGGCAGAGTGTCTCACAGCTGTAATGCCACCTACTTGTGGGGAGAGACAGCGGGGAGAAGGGGAGGGACCCAAAGCAGGAGGCTAGCAGTTTGAGCTAGCCAGGGCAAAGTTAGAGAGGTTCATCTCAAAACACAAAATAAAAGGGTAGGGAAGTGGCTCAAGTAGGAGGGACATGACACAGTACTTATCCAGTAAGACTCTGGGATCAATTCTAGTACCATAAAAATGAAAGAATAAATGAAAAGATCTGTATCTTAAGGAAGTCTTGAACACAACATCAGGCTCCCCTCTTGGAACTGACAATGTGCTGGAAATGTCCTGAGCACTGGCCCAGGAAGCACCTGCAGACAGACATCTTCGCAGTTAGGTTGCTTACGCCCATGGGTCATGTCTGGGGTAGAACCCACTAACACTGCAACAAACACACTTCAGGAAATGTTTCAGATTATCTTCAGAAAAAGCTTAAAATTACAGGATTTAGAAACAAACTGTTCCTGGAAAGATCTGGGGGTTTCAGGTCAATGTGGTCAATGAGGAAAGTCTAATTTCTAGGATACTCAATACCACAAAGCCTCAAAGTACATAAAAGGAATTCCATTTGAAAATTTCATGCAAGGAAGGAACATGTGGTGTGAGTTTAAATTCAGTTTCTTATTTTTTAAAGAGCTTCTTAGGTTAAAATGGGTTATTAGCATGCTTCCTCCAGACTGATTTTTTTTTTTTGCAAAGGTAGAATCAAAGTAAGATAACTGCTTAGTGACCCAATAAATATGTAACTTCCACAAATCATAAAACACAACTGGTCAATTACCACTCTGTGGGGATAGCACAAGAATCCAGTTTATTCTCCTGCTTCACCTAACCCACAAGCAAATTTGTGCCTCCCAAGAATACCAATTAAGAGAAAAGTATAGGGCCTTAACATTGGAAATTGCAGGTTCCCAGGAGGGATGCTTGATGGGAAACTCAGGCCAGGCCAGGCCTTCGGGTCCTGAGGCAGACTTTGATGTCACATGCCAGTCCTGTCTGGATACATCCTCTGCTTCACAAGTGCTCTGGAGCACATTGCCTCTGGCTGCACTGAACTACCTAATGGGCCTACAGCTCTAAACATTCTACTTACATCTGGCCTTTCTCTGCCTGTCAAGGACAAAACACCAACCACAGTTATAACCTAAGCCAGGACTTGCACTTCAAAGTCTTAAAAAGCAGGATAGGGGAAGTGGTGCTGTGGCTCAAGCAGTAGAGCACTTGCCTTAAGCTGAAGAGTGCAGGAACAGCACCCAAGCCCAGAGTTCAAGGCCCACGACCAACCAAAAAAAAAAACTAGGATAAGATGGGCACTGGTGGTTCACTGCTATACTCTCAACTACTCAGGAGGCTGAGATCTGGACAACTGCAGGGAATTCTGGAGACTCCATCTCCAAAAACAACCAACAAAAAGCCAGGCTAGACTCATGGCTCAAGTGGCATAGGACCATCCTGAGTGAGCAAGTCAGCTTAGTAAATTTGAGGCTCTGAGTTCAAACACCAGTACTGGCAAGGTGGGGAGAGAAAGAGGAGGAAAGAGAGTTGTGGCACAGGCTAGTTGCAGTACCTCGCTTCCTGCACACTGAATCATGACCTGTGACATGTACACAACATTGCCCAGAGTCTTAATGTCATCCCCCTCCCAGCTCCGGATGGCTTCCGTCAGAATCTGCAGCTCAAGCTCTTTCCTTTTTCGTACTTCTTGACACTGGGCCTGCAAGACACAGGGTGATACTGTTCAGAGACACAAGTTTCCAAAATCTTAAGTTTTGGTCACATTGCTTTTTCCTAGAACAATTATTATTTTGTGTCTTACTTCTTAAGACAGATCAGCTAATGATTTTCTTAACTGTATGGAATTGCAAGTTTTGCTTCAAAGTAGGAAGTAATAAAAACAAAATTCTTTAAAAACAATGACTCTGGAAAAATAGTCCAAACAATATTCTAGAAAAATATCATTTTTAGAAAGAAGAATTATACAGCAAACAGCAAAATATTTCCATTCTGGCTTTTAACCTGCTAACGAAGAAAAGGAAAACAGAATAAGTAGCTATAAATAAGGCAAAGGTTTCAAAAGCAAGTTGGTAAAACAATGTGACATCAGAAGATAGCACCACTGGCAGTGTATTCCCTAGAGTATCACAAAAGTTCCCATGGAGAGACGTGAGGAAACACTTTTAATGATCTTAAAGTGGCTCAATTTCACATAATCAGCCTATCAGCTGTATGGTACCTACAGTACACTAACACTAAAACAAGAGAATTTTGCCATAGAATGTTACTATTCATTTGCTTTTATTTCAACTGAGTAAACATTAAATTCAAGTCAAAAGTAACTTTTTACCACCTAACTTTTTGATTGACTATGTGCATTTGCCATAAGAATACCTGAGGGGAAAGTAATATGCTTAATCACTTACTGAAAGATTTTTGAAGGCAGTCATAGATTTTTGAATATCTTGTCTATCAGGATGATACTCCTTTGGATAAAAGAAACACACCATTAGCTTTCATAATAAAAAATGGTACTCTCTGTAGGTTAACCCAAAACCTTTCTAATACCTTTCAGCCCTTAACATGGCCCTTTCTTTTACAGCATTAAAAGGCTCTCTTTCTCTCTCCTCTCTCTCTTTCTCTCTCTCTCTCTCTCCCACTCCCTCCCTCCCTCTCTTTCTTTCTTAATCATGAAGCAGTGGGCTTGAGGAGAAGGGAAAGCAATCTGGAGAGGAAGAACAAGAGTGAGGGCTAGAACTGTCAGCTCTGTAACTAAAGCCACGCTTTGGCCATCTCTGAATGCTCTGCCCTATAACAGCAGAGCTGAAATGAAGGAAAACTAACAGCCCTCCAAACCCAGAGAGTTCAAAACTGACAGATGTTGCCATTGCTTAAGCAGCGCTCTTATCACTGTCACTGCACAACCTCACTACTGGGCATGAGAGTCCTTCCCGGCTCTCGAAATGTTTTGATGGGCAGAGATGATAAGAAGGCAAATCTTTTCCATCTGTAGAGCTGAATAAGGAAATAAACTTCAGAGTTAACAAGATCATTTTGAAACTCTGGGTAAACTAAGTGCTGGTGCTGGCTTCTAAAAACGCCACACTGATCAGCTGAGAACAGCAGTCTCTGCCAGATGTTGTGCCAGCACCACTCCCTGCCCACAGCCCAGTGCCCAGCGGGCGCACGGTACCTCCATGTGTCTCTCCAGCTCCTTCAGCAGTGTGGGGTACTTGTCCAGGCGCATGAAGGGCTTGCTGAGGCCCGTGGTCAGCACGAGGATCCCAGGGCTGCTGGCGCCCTTTGTCTCCATGAACTCCCCCAGGTCCTCGCTGGCAGCAGGGCAGGAAAGGGAAATGTGTGGTTAGGGATGCCACAGTGTGGCTTTGCTTTACTAGTCAGAGCCAGGGCTCAGACAAGTGCTCACTGTAAAGGTGATAGGTTCTACAATAATCAAATCTGGTCTGGTTATGTCCCAACACAAAAGGGAACCTGTCAAACCTTCTACTGCTCTTACATAGAACACACATCTGCAGTTCCACTGGCCCAAGCAGCCTGTGGTGTGTGGGTACCACACAGACCTGTCTCAGGGGAAGCAGCATGCACAGAGAAGGAATGGCTCCTTCCTCCTGGTCCAGGGGCCAGGAGACCATGCTCACCCTGGACCAGTAGCCTCTGTTCATTTCCATTCATATCCCTTTCCTGAGGGACAGGATGCAGTTCGGTGGTAGAATGTCACCCAAAACCCGACCAGCTTCTAGCCATCTCCAAGTCACACGAGCTGCTTGAGGAAAGGATGCCCCAAACCACAGGGGCAGAGCAGGACACTACACACTGCAGGGGCAGCTAGTGCAGTGCAGGTGATGGAACATGGCAAAAAAGGGCCAGACACACAGGCTGGATATGTAGAGGTGAGTCACAGGTCAACCGTGCTGCATTCCCCCAGGACGCGGGAAGAACAGAAGGGGAAACTGAGGGCAGGACCAGAAACCACAGTTCCCTCTCACAGCCACTCAGACCGCACACATCTCACACATGGTCAGTCCTTCATACTCTCTCTGTTGTCCCTGCCCTCAGAGGTCAACAGGCATGGTATGAGCAGGCCTGTGGGGACTGAGAGCCATCTTCCCCCTTCCCCACCCCCCCCAGAGCTGTTCATGTTGCACAGCCACCTGCAGCAACCATGGGGCCTCAGTGGCTGCACCCCAGGCTGGGCACCAGAGTGAGGCTCAGGCAGCATACCCCATCCTAGGAGACCCACATAAGCAAGTGAACCTCAGGGGACATCCAAGGACCTGACTTAAATGCCTCCCACATCTCCCAAGAAGAGTTGTCCCAAGCCTAACCTTCTCTAGACAACCTAAACAACCTCGAGACCCTCAGGTGAGCTACAAAGCTGGCCTTCCCTACCCAAGTCTTACCAGGTGCCAGCCTTCTCCAGCCCCCAACACATCCCCAAGCCAGGGGCTCCTGCTGAGAATACAGGCCACAGACAGACCACAGAGAGTGAATGTTTTAGGTGGCACACGTGTGAACGTGAGCTGGAGCAGGCCGTCCCTCCATACCCCATCCTCATTCCTCTGGTGTTTAGGAATTGAAGGGAGAACAAGGATGCTTTACTCAACCATTACTCACCACACCAACTCCAGAATCAGGTGAAAAAGCCATGAGCCAGCTGCAAATAGCTTTCCATTTCCAAAGTGTGGAGCTTCTCCACAGGAGACTCTATCCAAGTACCTCCCACAACACCTCGGGGGCTCACTGGACAGGCTGTCGAGGACATTCCTGTGTTGCGTAGCACCTTTGGTCTAGCTACACATACCAAGCATCAATCTTTCAAATATACATATATACAAAACTCAAAGCTAACTATAGAAAGTATCACATAATCCTAGTTAACAGATGAATGGAACCTTTTCCCAATTCTAAATATGACGAAGACTTCACCATCATGATATAATTAAAATTATTGGCACAGAAATTGTCCAATTACTGCTAGGGGTGTGCACATGGGTGTGTGTCTATACTTTTACAGGCAGTACACAACTCACAATCTTTGTCTCTATGATTCTGTGTTCTCCAGAAAGCTGCAGGCTTGGGCTTATTTAGACAACACAATGAGATCTGCAGGCATGCAATGTGGCACTGTGCACCTTCAGGTCATGCTGTGTAGAAGCCAAGATGATCACTGAGAGCCCGTGGTGTGCAGCCACTCACAGTCACTGTGGAGATGCCTTCTGCTTCACTTCCCCGGCCCTTTCCTCAGCTTAGCAGTAGCAGGCTCCAAGGCAGTGAACCCCCAGACCCACACTGTCCTAGACACCATAGATAGCAAAGGCCTTTCTGGCAAGTGACTGGTGTCACCACACGTACACACAACCTGGTGTACAGCCCTGGTGCCTCCCATCACACTCTCTGCCAGGCCCTAAGACACCACAAACTTTCATTCTACCAATTTTCACCAGGCACAGCCTCATAAAAATCAGCCTTTGTTTATTATACTAACAGTGCAATTTAAATAGGAGCCACCAGCAGAAAAACACCAGGAACCCTCTAATCTGGTCTTTATTGGTATTTGGGGTTTTGGTGACATCTCATTATGACAGTGACTATTACCCCTACATTCCTAAAACTAACAAGTAAAATTTCCACAAGCAAAACTAACGTCTTAGAATGTCCACACATTAAAACATGTACATAACTAAGAAAAAGAACTGCATTCATGGTCCTAAAGAAGTTTTGTGTCGTTTTCATACCTCCTTAGTTAGTTCCTTTGACACACAGGGACCTTGAGCTTAATTCTATCCCCTGTTGGCCACCCCAGTGTGCTTCCTCTGCCAACTGAAACAACGCTGCAGGTGCACTGCAGCACACACATAAGACTTGTACATTAAAAAGTAGCCACCCACGGGGAAGTAAATCCGCCATGTTTACACATTCACATATGAAATCTGTCATTCATTCAGAAGCTGACATGAACATACAGCGTCCATGATCATATGATGAAGGAAAAGGCATCCACCCATTAGAATGCTCATGCTTTCGCCCAGATTCACAC